TTCCAAAGATATTTTTACTTAGTGGTAATTTAATGAGTTTATTGTATCTTGCATTTGTAAATTTAATAGATTCATAATTTGAGGAATTTGTCTGCTTTGATGTACCTAGTATTTCTTTTCCTTGTAGCTCCCAACTCAGGGAGATTTTGTCTAATTTGTTATTGTTAATATAGATAACCTGATTCTTATACTATCATAATGCAATATATTCAGTACAATGTATAAATAGAAATATCCTGGCAAAATAATCTGTAGAAGTATCTTTTGATAAGTAAATCTAGAACAAATATTTGGATGAATTTTAATAAAAATGTTTATTTTACTATAAATTAAAGAGAAATTCATCAGTATACATGTGCTGCTGCCATAACACTACATATGATTATCGAAAAACTTCCTATTCAGGAAAATCACCCAGCTTAAGCTCTTAACAGAGCTTAAGAGAAAATTGCAGTTAGAGAAGGCTATTTAAGTATTATGGCACTCTGTAACCAGAACCTAACAAAAACAGTTAAGAATCCTAGTTAAAACAGTAGTGCCTATATGTAGAGGACCTGTTCATCCTTCTTGGTGATGTAGATCAAAATGAAAAATCTGAATCAAGATAAAGCCTCCTTTATTAATCCATTGTTTAAATCACAGGGAGTGTCTTTACAGCTTCTTTACACCATAATTTCTTTAGTTTTGTTTTTAGTTTTCAATTTAATGGAATGCATAGTTGTTGAGGCATTAAAACAGTCAGAACTTGCAGTAAGGGAAGACATTTCTATAGATTTTCAACATTTTTCTTAAGGTCTTCATATGTTGCTGAGATTTTGGCTTTACCTGTAAGAAAGCTTACCCCTAATTGTTTTAAAACAGCAACGTATTAAAAAAGAAAAGCTAAAGCATCAATAAAACTTTGGAGTTACACTGACATCATTCCCTTCTTTACCAACTGCATATGAGGTAATTCACATAGAAGAAACCAGAACAAACTGTACTTGGGAAAATATTCCCACTATGAGTGTTATCTCAAATCCAGGTAAAAAAAGAGAATTTTATATATATATAAAATTTTAATATAATTTTAATATATTTTTTTAAATCAAGCATATAACTTGATCTTTTTGAAATAATTTTATAGTTAAAGCTATCCAAGTACCACCCATATTCCACAATCACTACAACCAATGATTTTATATTTCTTGGATTCTGTTGTAACAGTTTGTGTGTGTGTGTGTAGATATGTATGTATCTCTGTCTCTACCTCTATATCTATTTTGACTAGCAAATTCAAGTTAAATAACAGAAGTCTTCAGCAGAGATTATAATTATGAGTTTTTAATGCAAGGTTGTAATCTATTAAATGTCTTCTAAAATTTTGTAATGGGAAAATCAATGAAAATTAACACTATGAAAGGAGATATTCTGTTTTTTTCCCCCAAACTTGCAAAGTAACATAGGTATAAACTATGTGTGAACTTCTTTGGGCTGGAACTTCTGGATCACTTAAGGAGACTTAGCTATGTCAACATGATTATTAATATTTATGGCTGGATATTTAGGGTTTTGGATGATGATGGTAGTTGGAGTTTTGAAGCACTGACACTACCATAAAGTATATCATTTTTCTAACCAAACTAAAACTTTCATTCTTGGACCTTAACTTCTACAAGGTGCCATCCATTCCAAAATGCTATAAAATATCAACCCTCTTTACTTTGATTAATGATACATTGTCAGAGTGATGAATTCTTCTAGAGTGTAATTTGAAAGATAATATCATTCTAGGAGAAAAAAGTGCAGGTGAGAATTTAGAGCAGTTATCAGGTGAAATCCTACCATCATACAGTGTAGTGAAGGATGCGGAGGAGTCTGGGAATGCTGGCAGTAAATCACATTTTTTGGCTCTAGTTTAAGCTTCTATCCTACAGTGAGATATATGATTTAATATGTGTCCTGAAGGCTGTTTTGGTTTCATTTTAAAACATTTTTTAACATGTAGAACAGTTGCACAGGCAATTTTGTACATTTGCATTCCCCTTCTCCTCCTGTTACTACCTATTACTACTGCTATATTTAAATTTTCATATTTAGAAATTGGGAAGAAAATTATCATTGAGTTTCAAAATTTGAAAATATTTTATTACTACATAGTACAGTGTTATGATACTTAATATTCAGTTATCTATTTTAAATATTTTATAACAATAGCCTTCACATTCTTGGTCATTGGCTATTATTCAAATGATTATGGTTATATTAAATAAAAGATAATGTGTTTTCTGTTGTAAATCTAGATATGTACTTCTAAGTAGAGACAAAAGGTTGCAAAGATATTTCAAACTACTAACAGTAGTTACCTCTGGGGAGTACTATTCATGAATTGGAAAGAAGCTCCATTTCTTACATTTTAATATGGTGTGACTACAATTTATTTTTATGTGCTTAGTCATATATAAAATAAATAGGCAAAAAATAAGTTAAAAACAAACAAACAGAAAACGTAGCCACCTAATCCTTGTATTGGCAATTATATACAGAATTATAGTTTGGGGAGATTTTTTTTTCTTTTAAAGGAAGGACCAATGTTCAAATCTATTAGAGATAAAATTTAATATTTTCAGTTTCAGGAAATCAAAAGTAAAATACATTTTCTGTGATATGAAGGCTAACATAAATTCAGTAGGGTAAAGGGATTAGGCTGGAATAAGGAAGATCTTGGTTCTTATTCAAGCCCCCACATTTCATAGCCATTTGACTTTGATCTAAGCTTTCTGAACTTGGGTTTTCTCATCTATGTAATAGGAAGCCTATCTGCTTTCTCTCTCCTTGTATTATTGTTTTGAGATTAAGAAAAATAAAATATACATACACAGTCTTAAAATGGAGAAAACTAATATTTAAGTGTATGATGTTCTAGAAAAGAAATTTCCATTTATTGGCATTTAACTTCTTTCTGTTACATACTGAATTAACAGATATTCAAATATGGAACTTCATTTTATCAATTATCCGTGATGTTTATCTTGTTTTTACCAGTAAATTTAACTTAAGAAAAAATCATTTCAGAGTCTATTAATAATGCTTCCTAAAAATGTTATAAAAATTATTGGTACATTAATAGCAGGATTCATTTTAAGACAGGAATATATTTTATTTTATATTACTTAATATATATTAATATTTGAATGCTAATTCTATCTTGATAATTCTATATAAAATTAATACTATTGCTTTTGATATTTTATAAATAGAAAATGAAAACCAGACATTGTAAGTGCCTTTGAAATCTACAGACCTTATTCTAGAAAATGTAAAATCTGCCTTAGTTTGGCTTTCTTTTTTCAAAAATATTGGTAAAACTACAGATATTCCTGCAAAAATGTAACATTACCCTTATCGTGAATTTCTTTTAAAAGTAAAAGAACTACATAGCTCTGTATAGGAATTTTGATAATCATTGGAAAAATTTGGAGCAGATTAATGTTTGTATACAGACAGCAATATATGTGCATAGGTCACATTTGTCATTTTTCATAGGTAATTTATTAATTCAGTGTGAAATAACACTAGTTAATTTGATGTTCACTGATGTATTCCAGGACCAGACTGCAATGAATCTTAATAGATTTAGAAAAGGTCATAACTGAAAAATTTCAGTGTAATCTTAGCTATTTAAATTGGTAACTAGACAAAACTTTAAAAATAGGATTATTTTCATGGGAGAGTATAAAATAATTATTTCTGATCCCTGCTGAATTTTTCCTGTCTTGAGGACATCTGCTAGGAAGTAAGACTTACTTCCTGTCTTCCTAATGCCAGGTTCTCATAGAGCCTCTGAAGGTCCTGAATCTTCCCCTTGGAGTTTAGTTCAAGCTTAGCTGGGATCCAGAATCCTGCAGCGTCCTTGGGCAGATGGGGTAGCTGCTGATAGAAAACTCTTTAGACAATAGGACTTTCCCAACATTTGCCTGCTCCTTGTCAGTTTCTCTAATACCAGGTGGAAAGTTATTTTTAAAATTCCCTTTTCTCAATTATTTTTTCTAATTCTGTAACTCTTGTCCTTCTTCCTTCAACACATTACTTTTACCATTTGCTTTTTTCCAGGTACTGTGGTAGCCATACAAAGTTTTAAAAACATGGTTTTTCATTTTGTGAACTTATGTGGTATGATGGGATAGACAGACACCAAAAGGTGATGTAAGATCAATGTAGTAAGGACTATTAGAGATCCACTGAGGATATTAAGGTGGTAAAGAGTGTGGATACCTCACATGGTTAAGGGGGTAGTGGAGTGTGTGGGGAAGGGTTCTTAGACCTTTGGAAGTAACTTATGATGAATCCAGAAGCAGAAGTAAAAGTCTGCCAGGCATAGTTGATGCCAGAGGGAAGAAGGCCTTCGTGGTAAGTGAACCTCATGAGTAAAGGCACGGAATAAAGCAAAACTTAGAGTTTACTAGGGAGCTACAAATAAAGGCACTTCCTTATGTGCACTTTTGAATAGTGAATACTTTCTAAAAATATTTTGTCACCAAGGAATACTCATTACAGCTTATTCAGACTCCTACTAGATTCACTCACTATATTTAGTTCTTTAGCCATCACGTGCACAAAACAACATACCATGAGTCATGAGAGTTATATTTACCTGGGGTCACTTGTCAGCTCTGTCCCACACTCATCATCTGACTAAGGGCAAGTAATTTAAACTCTCTGAGCTGTAGTTTCTTTATCCCTAAAACAGAGGTAAAATAGTTGTCTTAGAGTTGTCTTGAGGATTAAATAACATAATGGTTTTAAGATGATTAGGATAGTATGGACCCAAACTTGTCCCCTCAGTAGATGGCAGCTGTCACTATTATATTGGTTGATACAAGTATCAATTTATTTTTAAATAGTAAATAAAATTAAGTGAATTTTAGGAATCATAGAATAATTAAATATGATTTAATGTATATGAATTGCTTAAACTGACATATTAGGCTCTTTGGTCATATTTTGTTCCTTTTTTATAGGCAAAATCTCAAATATTATCCAGTGTATTGGATGTTGCCCATCAGTTTATAAAGGAAGTTAATCCAGATGAACCCAAAAGGGAGAATAATTCTACAAAAGAAACCAGCAAAAGTCAGCAAAAACCCAAATCTCCACTTCTGCAGGGGAGCAGCTCTGAGGTAAACTGAGAAAAATAGAGTAGACATTTTGCGTCATACATAATCATGGTGAATGCCATTCATGTACTTAAATAGAGCTGTAGAGTTTTACAGATTATTTTTTCACATTGTTATTTAATAGGGATTTTATATATCTATTTATATTTTTTTACCAAATACACCATGACTATAAAAATCTTTTCAAAGACATTGTTTTGGTTCCACTGAACACTGATCATTTTGAGGAATGATCTTTTGACCATTTGACATTGAGCATTTTTACCATGTCAGGAATTGAGTAAGTATTTAGGAGAAACATTAAAACAAAAACAACAATGCAATTTAGCAATTTTATATTAGTCAGGACTTCAGAAAGGCTAAAAATACAAAACCCTGCTAAGAAATCTAGGTGACAGGCAGTTTCACAGTTATTTTAAATCAGATTTATACCAAATTCTGGCAGTTATTCAGATTGACTACTGACCCGATGATGTGCTGGATAAGCTTTTATCAGCTCATGCCTGTATTTTTTGTAATAGACTTGTATTGATTCTTTAGCAAAAAACAAGCTTCAGCTTTTGATCTATGTTATAATCCTCATTCTTTTAGATGCCAATCACCTTTTCCCTCCAGTTCAGAAACTGTGAGTAACTTGGCCAAAGTCACACAGCTTATTACTTGGTGACAAAGTCTGGGTTGAACTTAAGTTGAACTTAAGCTTGCTAAATTCTAAATCCATGCTCCTAGAACATAAAAGAAAATGTGCTCTGTGCTAGTGGAACCTCTTTTTAGCATAGAAACCATGCTTGAATTTTCCAGTACAATCAGCATATTTACATGGGTTTGATTTTCTAATAGACCTCCCAAGAGTGTTTTGCAAAGAATCACCGAACGAGGTACAGCCTCATTATTATAATAATAATGTACGGAAGACCAGACACTGCCCTAAATATTTTATATGTATTATTTCCTTTTGTCTCTTTTCTTAATTATTCCTTTTTATTTCCAAAAGAGAGAAGAGTGGCAAAAAACAGGTTTTGTAAATTGTTCAGCATATCATTGATAATGAAACTTAAATTTGAGCTCAGACCTCTGACTCTGAAATTCTTGCTTTTAACAGCTACACAGAGGTAGTAGTTTTAAAAGTTTCTCCTTCATTTTATCTAATTTATCCTATCAAAAATAAATCAGCAGCTAACTTTTATTGCACATCAAATACTAGGGATTGTGCTTATTGCTTTACTTGCTTATCTTATCCAATAATCACTATAACCATATAAATTTTGTGCTACTATTACCCCCATTTAACAGATGAGAATGGTGGCAAGAGGTTAAGTAATTAGTTCTACTAGAAAGCTATAGAGTGAACTCCTTTGTGCTTTTAATCCTTACAATATATGCTTCCTCTTGTCTCCATAGGTAACTATGAATGCTGTATAGATCCCCCCACCTCTTGTCTTAAATTAAAAGCCATTCATTCAGTGGTTTCATCCAGAGGTGTGTATTAAAATCAACTGGAAAAACATTAAAGAGATACACATGACTGAATTCAGCATCTCTGTGAGTGAGGTCCAGGCATGTGTGGTTTTGTAACAACTCCTCAGTGATTCTGGTGAGTATTCTTAGTTGGGAGTCACTGCTGTAGCCCTTCAGGTGTACACCTGTACACAGGGCACACACTGAAGAGATAACCCCCTCAAAGGCTCAGCAATCCTCTATGGAGAAGGGCATTGGTTCTCAAACTGTAATAAGCACCAGAAGCACTGGGTGAGTTTGTTAAAAATGTGCATTCCTGGTTTTGCCATCCAAATTTTGATTTCATTTTTTTTTTTTAATACCTGGATTAGGACTCAGGAATCTGATTTTTTAATTAGCACTCCCAAGCAGTTCTACTGGCTGGAAGAGTCAAAATGGTGTCAAAAACTGATATCTGTCTTACCTCATTTTTAATGAATTGGAACCATGTTTGATGGATTCAAGCCAATGTGCATCTTTTTGTTGGAAAGAGGAGCAGTTCTTGGAAGAATTTATTTTAGTGGCTGAAATCTGGGTTTGAAATGCTGGCACTGGTTTTCTTATAGCTTTGTAACACTGGGCATATTACTTAGCCTTTTTGACCTCTGTTTTCTCCTCTGGAAAATGGTGATGTTAAGATACATTTTATAGGGATGTCATGTACTTAAACAGTAATGAATGTATAGCATTGGATTTCTACGTGCTCCTTCAAATTTCCTAGCTCCCTCAGAATTGGGCAGGGTCATGTTGGGCTGTGGAGTAGAAGTGATATATGACAGCTCTGAGCTGATACATTTAAGAGCTAATGTACAATCTTCTAGCTTTTTCTTACTCTGCCACAGCTATGAGGAATCCAGGTATTCCAATGGCATAACTCCAAGATGCAAATGTCTTACACCTCTGATTCATTGCTTGGAAGGGAGCTGCTCTGGACAGCTGGTGAAAATACTGAATACTTAAACTGTTTTGTATTAAACCACTGAGTTTTCAGTACTTCTTCACAGGGCAGCATACATACATAGACACACTGACATATTGTTTACTGGATACCTGTAAGTACCTTCTTACCTACTCCTAAAGCTTACTATCTTCAAACTAAATTCATCCCCTCTCTTCTAAAACCTATAGATGTTACTGTTGGCAGCTCACTATTTTAGCTTTCCAAGCCAACAAAGGCCGTTATTTCCTATAGTTGTTTCTCTTCCTCCTCTGCACATCTGTTAAGTTACTGTATTAGACTACTCAGGCTGCCCTAACAAAATATTTTAGACTGAGTGGCCTAAACAACAGAAATTTATTTTCTCACAGTTCTATGAGCTTAAAGTCCTAGATCAAGGTGCTGGCAGATTTGGCTTCTGATGAAGCTTTTTTTTTTCTGGCATCATTCTTGCTGCATTCTTACATGCCCTTTTCCTCTGTGCACATGTAGGGAGAGAGAAAGAGACAGACATTGGGGGATAGGGCTTTAACATGAATTTGGGGGGAGGCTCAATTCATTTCCTAACAGTTACTATGTCCCATGCAGTCTACCATCTAAAAACTTTCTTGAATGTTTAATCCCTTGTTCTATCCTTATTGCTATTTTAGTTACTGCAATCAGCTTTTGCTTAAAGAACAAATTGTTTATAAGTGGAAAGTGCATTTCATTCTCTCCCCTTCTAGGGGTCAATTAACACTTCCAGTTTTGTATATATGTATTTAACTACACAAATGTTAATATGCTTTGCATACTGCTCTGAAAAACTGCTTTTTATACCTAATCAATGTAGTTTTCATATCCATATAAGGACATTCTACAGCCTTCTCATTCTATGTAGTGGCTATACTCTATTTATTGTATGTGAAGGACTTTTAAAACATATATCTTCCCCTGATCAACATTTATGCAGCTCTAATCTTTTGCCAGTACAAAATATAAAGTATAATTTTGAAAAATGTTTTATATATATATATATATAAGTATATTGAGATGATAAAATCCTGAAATTCTTAGATAAGATGATTATATATTTCTAATGTTGGTCAATATTGTCAAATGGTTATAATATTTTAATTGGTTTCCTTGGATTCAAACTGGCTATTCCCTAATTTCTCTCTCTGCCACACTACTGTGTGGAACTTCTCAGTGGTTTTGCATTAAGGCTTAAGTCTGATAGCCCTAAGTGTGAGTTCCTCTCTATGGCATGCTGAGCTCAGACTGTCACTGCTTGTCTTTCTACCATTTATGTTTTCTCATCCTCCATTTTTTGCTGTATAGAGGCACATTACTTACCGTTCCATGCCACAATGCTGTTCTCTACTCCATGTCTTAGCATGTATATCATTCCCTTTCTCTGGAATACTGCCCTCACCAGTTGTTGCTGATGGATTTCTTGTTTTATCTTTCAAAACCCAGTTCAGAGGTTTCTTCTTCTGAGTCACACCTGCTCCTTGTGTCTGTTTCTCCTGGGGACTTACTAACCTATGTTTCTGTTGTTAACAGCACAACGTCTACGGGCTGACAGGTTCTCAGAATTTCTTTGCTTATGTTTAAAAATTTCCATACACGTCTTTAACAATATGCTCTCAATTGTACTCTAAAATCTGCCTGTTCATTTTTCAATTAAAAGCTTAACATTTAAGTTTGTATTCTTATATCTAAAAGATAGCCATGGAGATTTAGCAATATGATCAATGTAAATAATCTGCAGGTGATAATTCAGCCATTGGTGTGGCTTTTATTCTGCTTGAGTTTAATGTGGCTGTTTTCTCTGATTCACTGGGTAATTGTCAAATACAATTTGACATTTTCTTCTGTGTGTTCAGACTGAATTTGTATTTTGCACTGAATTCTTCTCCCTCATCATCATTAAGCTGAGAAGTATGCAATATTTCATATGCATTGATGAACTTATTCATTCTGTTGACTTTTACTGAGCACCTAATTTGTGCCAGGCACTGCTCTTGGGACTGAGGAAAAAGACAAAAATCTCTGATCTCATCATATTCTAATGGGGAGAGACAGGCAATAAACATATAGAATTAATTTACATAGAGGTAAGTAATGGGAAGAAAAACCAAATAAGGAATTATAAAGTGGGAAAAAGGGGACTACTATTTTTAGAATCATCAGTGAAGAACTAACTTTCTGAGTAGGTGACACTTGAGCAAAGACTAAAAAATGAGGGGAATGGCTACGTGAAGATTTGGAGAAAGTTCATTCCAGGCCCTGGGTATTGCTAATACAAGGCCCCAAAGAGGGAACGTGCTTGATGGGTTCCCAGAACTACAGGAATGTGAGCTGAGCTGGAACAGGGTGAATGAAGGGGAGAATGGAAGGAGATGAAGTAAAAGGCAAGAAAATACAAGATAATGTAGATCTTGATGGGCACTTGGGGTTTCATAGAAAGTCAACAGAGGGTTTTGGATGGGGAATGATGTGATCGGATTTACATTTTTTTTTTTTTAAAACTGCTCTTATGTGGGAAGGTTGCAGGGAGCAAGAGATGAGGAAGTAGAAAGGCTGGATACAAGGCTATTGCATCTTGACAGTGATAACATTGTAGGCTCTCATTTTAATAATTTCTGAAGAGACTGTAATTGCCAATAGAGTTTTAAAGGAAACAGGAAAGCATATAAGTACAATTTTAAAACATTCTAAGTTTAAACATTTCTGATTTATAATGAGAAATAATTAGTCCTACCTGTATTTTAAGAAACAGGAAATTTAATAAAGCATGCTTAGATACCCTTTTAATTCATTTAGGTAGAAATTACAACAACAGAAAAAGCAGAATGTACGAAACCAAGAGATAGACTATTGGGTGAAGGATCATTCGATGAAGAAGCTTCTGCCCAGTCCTTTCAGGAAGCATTAAGTCAGTGGAGAACTGGCAATCACGAGGAAAATGAGAAACAGAATTTACATGCCGCAAAACCAGGTATGGCTATTTTTATAACATGAATGTTATAAAATGAAGGTCTCCATTCTCTGTGAATATGTTAATAATAAATGCTGTGTCCAAAAACAATACACATTGGAACAGCAGTTTGCTATAACTCCTCAAAGAGGCATGCAGTGCATGCTCATCGGTGAATGGTTTAATGCTTACAGGCCCTAAATCAGGCACTAGGGCACTTGCACTTGTTTTCTATGTAAACTCAGACTGTCGAATGAGAGCCTAATTGGATTCTTTCAGCTCCCACTTTCTTAGCAGGAATTTTTTTTTTTTTTCAGAACAACTATTTTTTTTCTTTAAACTGTTATTGCAACACATGAAATGGGAGGATCTGTGAGATAGAGAAATAAAGATTTTTTTATATATGCCTTGAAAAATATGATTTCAAGGAACCCCCCCCAAAAAAAAATTTAGGGTGAATAAATTGATTCTTGCTTTTTTTCTTTCTTTTTGAAGAGCTAATTTTAATTTTTTTCTTGATGATTTTAGCCCTCATACACTAGGCATTGAAGACCTAGATGACTGAAATGTAGAGTATCTTTGCTTTAAATTTACTAGTATCTCTTGAGGAAAAGTGTAAGCATTTAAGGTATTCAATTTATTAATTTTATTACTTGGACTCTTGTGTCTTCCAATTGCTTTTCATTGAATATAACGCGCTAGATAAGAAATTTCAATACTGTATCGTACTTGACAGAAGCATCCAATTTTACTATTTTTACTGCATTCTTTTCCAGTGAATGAACTCTCCTATCATTCCCCTTTATTACATAGTATAATTTCCAATGTCAAAGTACCTACCATCTTGCCAATTGCAATTGGATTTTTTACTAAATTCTCTCTCCTTCAAATATTTTTTCCTGTATTTGTCCATGCCCTACACCAATGTCATTAATATTTTCAAGACTTTGTTCGTATGCTCTCTTCTTAGTAGTACGTACCTTAGTATGCACCTCATCTCTCATTGACTTTTTGTTATGTTATGTGCTTTATATGTGTACCTTCATATTCTAATGTATTTTTTTAATTTTTCAACCCCGAAAAATACTAAATATTCTATTGAAATACCTTCTTAATTGTCTACTTTGAAAGGCATAGTATTTAAAACAATATTAATGTGGAGTTGAAAAATCGCTGGATCAGAAGCCCAAAACCATTTTAAAAATTTGTTTTTCAGCCTGGGCATGGTGGCTCACACCTGTAATTCTAGCACTCTGGGAAGCCAAGGTGGGTGGATCGTTCAAAGGTCAGGAGTTCGAAACCAGCCTGAGCAAGAGTGAGACGTCATCTCCACTAAAAATAGAAAGAAATTAATTGGCCAACTAAAAATAAATATAGAAAAAATTAGCTGGGCATGGTGGCACTTGCTACCATGGTAGTACCAGCTACTCGGGAGCCTGAGGCAGAAGGATTGCTTGAGCCAAGGAGTTTGAGGTTGCTGTGAGTTAGGCTGACGCCACGGCACTCTAGCCCAGGCAACAAAGAGAGACTCTGCCTCAAAAAATAATAATTGCTTTTCATAATGGAAATAACTATATGATAAAAATGATATGATAATTATTTAAAAAGACTTAGTTATAGCAAAAAGTTACCAAGAACAAAATGAAAATAGCTCAATCCTACCTTCTAGAGATAACCAGTATTAACATTTTGGTACATGTTTTTCAGTAAACACAGTTGAGCACACACACAGGAACAAAAATTAGCCAACGCTGGGTATGCTCTTAGTTAACTTCCATTTTCACTAAGATTCTGTCATGGACAACCTGCCTTCTAAATACAGATATACATCATCATTTGTAATTGTTGCCTGGTATTTTATATGTAATGATTTAATCAGACATTTGTTGGTGGATATTTTATTTTTAATTTTCAGTATTATAAAAGAAGTTATGATGGTCATCTTAACTGTTTGTGGACTTACACAATTGCCTTAAAATATATTTCTAAATATAGAAATGTTATCTCAGTGGCAACTTGTTTTATTGAAATTTTGATGAATATTGTTGAATTATTCTCTACAAAGATTACTGTGTCAGTTACTCTCACTGTTAGTGTATAAGATGACTATTTCCCCATATTATCTAATTCTTTAGAATTAGAATTGCTCTATTATAAACTTTCAAGTGCACGATAAAACATGCCTCAACAAATTTAAAAAAAATAGAAATTATACTATGTATCTTTTCAGACCACAGTGGAATAAAATTAGGAATCAATTCCAATAGAAACAATCAACTCTACACAAACACATTAAAATTAAGCAACCTACTGCTGAGTAGATATTGCTTCCCATTTTTGACATGGCAAATGATGCTGTTCTGAGTTTTCTTGTACAGATCGCCTGGTACGCATGTGTACACATTTCTAGAGATGTCTATATCTAGAAGTGGAATAGCTGGGTCATAAAGTGTGCATATATCCTCAACTATACTAGATAAAGCTGAATTATTTACTAAAGAATTGTAATACCAGCTGCCGCACATAAGAACTTTGGTTGTGTTCTGTTATCAGGAACACTTAATATTGTCAGATTCAAAAATTCTTGCTGGTCTGATAGAGATGAATTTGTGTACCTCATTACAAATGACATTCAGCATCTTTTCAGATGTTTCATGACCATTTAGCTTACTAGTGTGCTTTAAATTTTTCATGTTTTCTTGTTATCTCTGTGTTGATTTCATTCTAGTATTCTAAAGGCTCATTTCCTTCAGTGTGAAAGGTAGGTACTTTCAAAGGCCTAGAAGGTTCTGTGTGATCTGAAGTCCATTATCTCACAGATCCCATCTCCTGTTACTCTTCCTCTGGCTTGTTTAATTTCAGCCACTCTGGATTCCTGGCTGTTCTTCAAACACTTCAAGCATATACACCTTAGGACTTCTGCCCTGTGTTTTAGGGAAAATACCCAAAATCCTATCAATATGAGTGATAGAGAATCTCACACAAATTCTCATAAAAGTTAGCTAGTGAGCCATGAAACAAGGGAGCAAATCAAAACCTAAGTTACTTAGTTTACACGGCCTTTTTCCAGGGAGCCATGACTCATAAATACATACATTCTAAATTTGTTTACTATAAGCAATTCTAAACAAGGGCTATCATGCTAAATATACTATATAGCTAAAGATTCTCCTCCTAGTGAATATTATTAATCTATTTGCCAGGAGGTCTAGTTATCAAAAGCAAATTATCCCAGGTCACCTCCCATCTTTATTTCCTGGGAATGAGCCACTGGTAATGGGAGAAAAGCTAATCACACGGCAGCTGCTTTAACTCCTTCCTCCCCATCATCCTTCTAGGTTTGAGGATTATGTTTCAAATACAGTGGCTCTTCTCTATGACTTGGACAGAAAACAAAAGTGAGCTTTTCTTTTATTCTTTCAGCTCTTTTGTCAAGAAATCTTTTGTTTTATAGTAGAAGGGGGGACTCATAGTGGTGGCATCTCCTTTTCTCATGAGTTGCTCATGTCTGTAACTCCTGCTCTTTCAGTTTAATGGATTCTAGTTGGAGTTTCTCAGAAGTTCTTTCTTTGCTCTTTTTTTTTTTTTTAACACTGCTCTACCCTTTGGGAAGAATGGAAGTGGGATGGCATACTTCTTTTGGTATGTTTGAATAGCCAGCCTGTGGCTGTTTCTGGAAGAGAATCATTAAAGTCTACAGTATGAGATTAGGACACCCTTTAGCTCTGTAATTTAAAAAATATGTTTTTTCTCCACCTTTACTACTTCTCTTTCTTCTCCTCCTACATATTTTCCTCTATGCTGTTCCGTGTGGAGAGAGGGGCGATAAATGGGAGGTGGAGAGTAGAAATCCTGAATTTATGCTGCTTTCCTTCCCAGAAGTCTTCATCAGTTTTAAATATCTCTGAATAGTGATTTTAATTTACTAGTACTTAAGAAATATCCTAAGTATCTGGAAGTAAATTATTATGTAGATATAAATTTATGAGGATAGTTGTCACCTTCAGGTGTCATTCTGAATTATTTTCTGTTTCTCATGAGTAAACATTGTTGTCAGTGGCTATAATAATTTATGTATGTGTATGTTATACCTTTACCTATGTGTGTGTAGTATAGAATGTACACTGAATCTGTTTGTATTTATTTTCCTCATTTAAAAGAATTAGTTGCTTTAAAACACCTTGTGAATCATAAGATCCTTTCATTTCAAGGGATTATTAAACAAGTTGTACAAGCATTTCATAAATCAACAATATTTAACATTTTGACATTCTTTAAATCTCAACCTATTAATTATATAGATAATTATCAAAGCACATATACCTCAAAAATGATGAGTTCTGTATCTTGAGAGAAGATATATATAAACTTGGTTACATTAATTATGCACATTGTGTTTATTTTTCTAGACTCATTGGAAGAATGTGAAGTACAGACTAACATGAAAATTTGGAGAGAACCACTTAATATTGAATTTAAAGAAAATAGTCTATCCTACATGGAAAAATTATGGCTTAAAAAACACAGGAGGTATTTTCTGAATTATTATTATTAAGAAATATAAAAGTTAATTATGTTTCTTTCTTGTGTGACATGTCCTGTAACAGTTTTATATGTAAGTTTCATATTTTCATAAATAATTTTAAAGTAATATTAAATAGCTATGAAGCTTCTACTATTCTAATAAGAATTTTAATTCCATTTAAGTGTATGATGCATCATTAATTTAGAGTCTGCCTTGAGAAATGGAAGTGTGTATATGGAGAAAAGGGACAAATACAGTATAGAAATTTAAGAATAACAACAAAAATAATGTCATAAATGGAAGATTACTTTGAAGAGATATTTCTGTAAGGTTTTTTACATTAGCATAAACACCCCAGGCTATAATTTTCAGAATTGTTTTCAAGTTAAGTAGATATTTAACATTATAATTTTATTAATAACTAAAGATATTTAATCCAAATACTATATCATTAGATGCTATCACCTAAAGCCGTGACAAAAATACAGATTTTTTTAGTAGGTCTGAAGTGAGGCCTGAGATTCTGCATTTCTGAATTTCTAATGGCTGGTGATACTGGTGTGATGATGCTGGTCTCTGGTCTCATTTTGAGGAGCAAGGTGATGGAAGAACTCTCCAGAATGCACCTGAGCAGTGGTGATCAAGCCCTTGCTTCACCTTTGGTCCTACAAAGCCATCTCCTAAGGTGGCCCATTCCGACTTTGGAATATTAAGCTTGTTGTATAATATTTCCTATTGAGCTATAATCTGTTTCCAGCTAGTTTCTAAACTCGGTCCTAATTCTACCCATTGAGCCTCTACAGAGCAAAGCTGATTTCTCTACTCTATGGGATCTCTTCAGATTTTTGAAATCAGCTCTCATGTCTCTCTTGATGCTTCTGTTTGATAGGTTAATATCTGCACTGCACCACCACCCTCCTTCCTTCAACTGTTCTAAATGTTGAAATTTTTTTGCATTTAATTATTTTTGTCTTGAAATAAGATATACAGAAGAGTTGCAAAACAGTACAAAAATTCCCAGCTATCACCCACTCAACTTTCCCTAATGGTAACATCTTACATAAACACAGGATGTTTATCAAAACCAAGGAATTGACTGACATAGGCACAATATTATTGACTAAACTATAAATTTTATTTGGATTTTGTTGGTGTTTCCAAAAACATCCTTATGTTGTTCTAGGATCCAATACAGGGTCTCACATTGCATTTTTTGTCATATCTCCTTATCCATTACAGTTCTTCAGTCTTTCCCTGTTTTTCATGACCTTAACACGTTTGAAAAGTACTTGCCAGATGTTTAATAGAATGTCCTCAATTGGGCCTGTCTGATGCTTTTAGTAATTAAATTGAGGTTATACACTTTGAGGAAGAATACCACAGAGAGGATGTGTCCTTCTCAGTGTATGGTATTCTGGGGTCATGATGTCAGTATATCTTATTACTGGTGATGTTTAACCTTGATCACATGCTTAAGGAGATGCTCAGTTTCTCCACTGTAAAATCACCGCATTCACTTTACAGTTAATAAATATGTCAGAGGAAGCATTTTTAGATGATGTAAATATTCTGTTTTCCCTTAAACTTGCACCTCCTGATTCTAGCACTCATGAGTGAATTTTGCCTGCCTCGGTTATTACTCTGCTACGCTATTAGTGATTTCCTATTTCCTTTGTTCCTTCTTCATTTATTAACTGGAATTCTTTTTCAAGAAAGTATTCCTTCTCCCACTTTTATTTATTTGTTCAATTGTTTATTTATGTGGACTCATGGATATTTATTTTATTTTGGGGATTAATATCTAATATCGCTATTTATTTTGTGACTCATATTGTTCCTGATTTGGCTATTGGAGGTGCTCTCAGGTTGACTTCTCCATCCTTTTGACATGTCCTCATCTTTTGTGGGTTTTGGTTAGTTTGCTTTGAACATGTCTTTATCCTTCTGGTATTCAAGGTGTATTTTCCCTGCCTCAGCTCAGGAATCCATTTCTCCAAAGAATACTGATTCCTTTTATTGGAGAATGATGTTCAGAAACTAAAATCTGGACTGTTAGTGTGCTCATTGCTATTCAGGTGTCACAGATTGCAGGCCTTTTCAGAGGATAGAGCTAGAACATACACACACACATACACACACACACTAACCCAGTGTGCACACACTTCTAAATTTATTTCTGTACCTATCTATCTGGATATCTATTGAGGTAACATGAGTTCACACTGATAATTCCGACTCCAAACCAATGTCATATGGTTTATTTAGCATTTTCCCTTTCCTTGTTTGAAATTTCTTCTACCTACAGTGAGAAATATGGCTTTCATTATCTATATTTATTAATTAATTAACCCTAATATGTACATAAAGTAGTTTCAGAATTACTATTATTACTGTGAGATAGATTGCAATGGTTACTTTTTTCATTTGAATATACATTCATTCAGAATGCAATACTAACAACATGATGATAAACTGTTACTCACAAAACTGTACAAAGAAGCACACAATCTTTAAAATGTGTTGTTTTTCATGAGTAATTTAAATATATTATTATTATTATTAGGTACTAGAGTCAAAGACAACATTTAGATTCTGCAGCTTTAAGATCAATATTCTTATGTGAGAAATCATTAACAAAACCTTCAGCAAACTTTCAGGTCTTACTTTTTTTTTTTTTTTTTTTTTTTTGAGACAGAGTTTTGCTCTGTAGTCCTGGATAGAGTGCAGTTGTATCACCAGAGCTCCATGCAACCTCAAACTCCTGTGCTCAAGCAATCCTCCTGCTTCAGCCTCCAGAGTAGCTGGGACTACATACAGGCATGTGCCATGTAGCCCAGCTATTTTTTCTATTTTTAGTAGAGATGGGATCTTGCTCTAGTTCAGGCTGGTCTTGAACTCCTGAGCTCAAGCAATCCTCCCACCTCGGCCTCCCTGAGTGTTAGGTTATATGCATGAACCACTATGCTAGGCCTTATTCTGGATTTCAACAGGGAATGAGTAGAGCAGATCATTGAGAATACCATAGAGGTTGCCATCAGAGGTAATGCCTGTGGCCATAAACTCTCCTTCTGGTGTTCCAAGGCAGATGCCACTGGTGTGGTCAGAGATGGCTTTTGCACTGGGTAGATTTTGAGACTTGATGACAGCAGTACCACATTGCTGCATAGTTGTAATGAATTATCTTATGAGCCAGCTGTCATCTTTGAGAGCTTCATAAACAACAACTTATTTTCCTTGCAGTTTCACCTTGACAAGGTTGGCATCTGGATACTTATTTGAGGAATGGTTTCCCCAGATAGTGGCATTCTTTACATTATTAGCAGTCATACCAAGTTTAAGAACAATTAGAACTTTAGCTCAGGTTGTGATCCAAACTAGTCAAGCAACTGAAGTTCTCCTTGGGGATGGATGGAACTGACTTGGAGACAGTTGGGCAATTGGTATTGGCTGGGTTAGTAACAATAATAACTTCTTGGTGTATTTCTCCAAGGCTGCACTCTAGCATTTGAAGATTTTCATATTTACTTTCAGTAAATCTTTCCTCTCCATGCCTTTACTTCTTGGCATGGAGCCCACACGGATGACCACATCCAGATTTTTGAAGGCAGGTTCTTTATCTGTTGTAATGACATCTTTTAGGTGGGAAAGAGAACAGTCTTTCAGTTCCACTAGAATACTATCCAGGAAGACCATCATGAGGGTGATATCTAATAGTACAAGAATAGGGCAGTGTTGGTCTTTACCAAAGACAGATATATTTTCAATACATTTTCAGATACATTGCTATATAGCAATGAATATACAATTTGACTAGCTGCTCCAGTCATAAGGACTCTGATTGGTTGAGACATGATTGGGAGCTACACAGACAATTTTAGCACCTGCAAAATGAGTCTCAGGAAGTCAGGCCACCTCTCACAATGGTTATTTTTTAATGATAATCATTTATTTGAGTTAACACTTTATGTCTTAATTATACATGCCAATGCAGAGCAATCCATTTGCAGATCACAAGTATCTGATATATTTTTGATACTGTGCTTCAGAAAAGTTTCCTATATTGATAACCATGATAATGATTTTGACTTTACTTTTGTCAATTGTGTTTTAAATAATCGTATAAATATATATCCTATTGCATTGTTAAAATTTCTTTTCTGATTTGGATTTTACCTGTGATCAATATGTGTTAATAGATCTCTATTCCCCCATATTTATTTAAGTATAATTGACAAATAAAAGTTGTATATATTTAAGGTGTACAATGCGATGTTTTGATATACATAGACATTGTGTAATAATTACCACAATCAAGATAATTAACATATGCATCACCTCACATGGTATTTATATTTGTAAGTGTGTGGTAAGAACACATAAGATCTACTAGTTATAGTCATCATGTTGTATTAATAGATTAGATCTCTGGAAGTTATTCATCCTGCATAACTGAAACTTTTAGGCCCTTTGACCAACATTTTTCTATTTCCTCCAACCCCTATGCCCTGGTAACCACCATTATACTCTCTGCTTTTGAGTTCAACTTTTTTATATTTTGCATTATCAGTGAGATCATATAGTATTTTTCTTTTTGTGTCTGGCTTAGTACACTTAGCATAACGGCCTTCAAATGATGGAAACAACCTAAGTGTTCATCAATATATGAATAAAATATTATATATGTGTATATATATATATATATATATGATAGAATGTTATTCAGCCATAAAAAAGAAGGAAATCTGCCATTTGTGACAAAATGATAGTATTGATAGATCTTAATAGCAAAATCTCCAGTGGATCTTTTAAATCTAGAAAATCTTCATGAAACAATGCAGAAGATTTGGATTGAGTATTTTAAGGGCAGATGTTAGCAATTAGCTGGTATTCTGATTCCAATTCCACCAATCATTTCATTGCATGTAATCCTCAATTCTAGCTGATAATCAGAAGCAGTTTTATACTACTGAGAGTGGGTTTGAGACTCAGCATTTAAAAAAAATCTTGCCTGGCCACTTTGATACAAATAGCCTAACATTCATTAACAGAACAGATTTAAAAGTACTCATTACACATTTACCCATCAGAATTAGTCAATGCTCAATATGTATTTGCTAAATTTTAAAAAGGGAAAATATGGTGAGGTTATACTACTCTAAAAGATATTTAATCTTTTATTCATGTGCCAAGATGTTTTTTAAAAAAAATTGATTGTTTTGTTCTTGCTGATTTGTTTCAGTTCTTTGTAGATCCTGGATATAACCTTTTATCAGATGTGTAGATTGTGAATATTTTCTCCCATTCTGTATGTAGGTTGTCTATTTGCTCTGTTGATTATTTCCTTACCTGTGCAGAAGTTTTTTAATTTAATCAAGTCCCATTTATTTATTTTTGTTGCTGTTGTATTTGCCATTGGTGTCTTTTTCATAAATTCTCACTACTGGGTAATCTACCCAAAGGAAAATAAATCTTTTTTTCAAAAAGACACCGGCACTCAAATGTTTATTGTAGCACAATTCAAAATTACAAAGATATGGAATCAACCCAACTGCCTATCAATTCATGAGTGGATTAATAAAATGTGGTATATGTTTACCCTGAATAAGGAAAGAAAGAAAGAAAGAAAGAAAGAAAGAAAGAAAGAAAGAAAGAAAGAAAGAAAGAAAGAAAGAAAGAAAGAACAAAAAACATTGATGCCAGGGTTCCAATAACTCCAGCCAGACTTATTTCACTGACTAACTAGTTGTTTGTTTATGGGCAAATCACTTAAATATTCTTGGCCCAAGTTTTCTCATTTGTAAAATGTTGAGCTTAAAATAAACAATTTATAAGACATAAAAGCTCTGATACTTCATTATCTCAATTATAATAGTCTTTGGTTCAGAGCATTTACTCATAAAATTAGAGAATTTTTCACTCTATAAAGAAGGAGTATCTGAATAAAAGTATATTTATATGTGTATGATAAAATTTAGTTCAGTGAACACATGTCAGACTGAAAAGAGGTTTCTTGTGGCCTGATGCCAATTTATCTTTGACCATATACTATTTAATATTTTTATCTATAATTTCATTAAGTTATGGATGTAAGATGTCATGCTCAACAAATTTGTTAAGATAAATAATTTGTTAAGATAAATAAGATAAATTTGTTAAGTTAAATAATACATAAATATTTTATAGTCTTCTGACATATATATTACACATATTTGGAAAATGGGCATAATCATAGACTACTAAAAGATTATCAAATGTTTAGAGCATTTTCAAGTTGCGAAAAAGGCAATACAAAGTAAGGACATAGTTAAGAATCTGGGCTTGGGGAAGCAGACTGCTTGAATTCAAATTCCTCTTTTGCATTCAGCACCTGATTGACTGAACAATTTGTTTCTCTCCTTTGTGTTTAAATTTCATTAACTATAAAATTAAGATAATATTAGTGCCTATTTAATACCTATTAAAATTTAATATGCCAAAATTAGCAATAACAGAGCCTGGTACATTTTAAGTTTTGTATCAGTGTTAACCACAAATAGCATGAAGAATGCTCTGCCTTTCATGTGGGAACCTCATGAGCTTGCGTGGTCTAGAAGGCCAGGTCTGTGCAGCTGCTTATATCATTGGCTAAACGGTGACTTCTCTCCCCAGTAATCTGGGCATAACCTCTGGAACCCAATATATACTCTCAACTTTTGAGAATTCCTGGGCTTCAGTGCCTCCATGTGAAATGGGCTGCATCAGTCCTCATTGTTAATTAAGTAATAGATGCCACAGCCAGAACACCTCACATTCATATCCTATGAACCTATTTTATCAGCCTGCTGGTGTGGTGAAATTTCAGACAAATGCCCTCAGGTTCCCTTGGAACTCACTGACAAAATGCCAAGACTGTGAGATAAAACTCACATTCATAAATTAGCTTTTTAAATAGAATGGTATGTTTTATGGACTCCATGTGGCTTCTGAGAGAACACTGACTTCTATCATAACTTTGATTTTCATATTAAACAAAAAGCCGTAGGATATGCAATTTTAAAATGTTGTGTGATGTCAAGTTGATTTACAATTGTTTTTAGTACATTGAGATTCTGTTATACAATTACAGTTGTCTTCTTTGAATTAAAGGTAAAGTTATGGTTTCATCATTAATTTTGTATATTCATTTGATAAATAAATCAAGATCTTGTCTAGGAAAGTCTCAGATAATGTATTTTAGTCTTTTGATTGCTTCTTTCTTATTTTGTAGAACTCCACAAGAGCAACTTCTTAACGTGCTACCGGATACACTTATACATCCATGTAAAACCACTAGTGAGGCACAGTGTTCTCAAAATGAAAATGATGAAGATAGTGATGGTTCGTTCAGATTTATTAGATATTTTTAAAATATATTATTTTAAATTATATACACTAAATATTAAGAAGCATCTGCTTTTGCTTTTCTTTAACATATCATTCTCAATTGTGCTATGTAATTCTTTATCTCCAGATCAAAAATCATGCACACTCACTTCTTCACATTCTCTAAATTTACTCTGCCTTAATTTAAATATTAATAATGTCATTATTGACATTAAAAATTGAATGCTAAGAAAATGTGTATTTCATTTGACCTAGGAAAAGTGACAATATTTATCGTTGTGTAGATGTACAGAACACCATCCTTTTATTTGTTAGTTATATAATTTGAAGAAAGGAAATTATCAAGTAAGATATATCCTTTGATGATAATATTTTTAAATCTTATTTCCTAGTTGAAGAGATCAAAGTACAACATCCAGATCCTTTTCTGCCAGTTGAAGAATTAAACATAGAGAGACCTGAACCATCTCTAAAGATAGTCGAACTTGATGATGTGAGTGCATAGTTACCATTCACATACCTTAACAAACAGGAAATTCATAACATTTAGTTACATCTACATATTATTTTCTACAATATTTCTTTCATAGCTCAATATAGTTTAGTAGGAAATTTACCAGTGAATTTAAATATGCTGATAAGAGTAAAACAGAATTTTTTATAGAGAGTAAATTGGTGAGCTGAACTGGTATTGTCATTTGTTTTGTTTTGTTTTGTTTTTGGAAGCAATGCAGTATGGGAGATAAGAAGGCATGTCACTATTTTAACTTATGGCAATGTAATTTGGTGTTTTGTTAGTTTAGTTCTTTATGTTATCAGGCTTTTTAGCAAAGATCAGTCCCTTTGATTACATGGTATCTATTTTATAAAATTTAAGTGAAAATTTAGTTTCTTGAAAGTCATTTAATATTATTTTCTGTTTAAAGGAAGAAATAGTATTTAATATTTAAGAGGTTTAGTATAATGATAACATGAACACAAACCTCTAGAAGACACCAAAATGTAATCAGCTAGAGCCAGAGCCAGAGCCATTCAGAGCTGAAGCTCCAGCCTGAAGGTTAAGGGTTAGACTCAGTGCATTTCTGACTTCTTAGTTATCTCAAAGCTGAATGTACCATTTGTCCTAGGTATTCCTCTTATTGTGGCTGTTACAGAAAAAGACTAAAATAGGCAAAGTATCTCTATAAATACTTCTTTAGATTGACAGGTTGATAGCTTCTGTTTATTTATTTTTTTCTTTTGCCTAGTAACACTTTTATTTTTCTTCTGGATAAATTTGAGATATTGGACAAATACACACACACGTGTGTGAGTGTGTGTGCTATTCATTAAATTGTTGATACATAGAGGAGTAAACTTATGATGTGCCCATCACAGAACTAAAAACTCTTTAGTCACTACTCTACTTGGCAGTTAGTACTTACCTTGCTAAATATCAGTTATTATTGTTGGTTATAGGTGTGGTAATAGTGATAAAGTGACAGACACCTCAAATACCCTCAACAAATATCAGTTGAATTTTTTTAGTTTTCCTGGAACTCATGTGTTATAAAATATAATAGAGCTCTCATGACATTACTTGTAGGAAGAAAGTACTTTAAATATCATCCATAAATTAGTTGGTTAATATATAAAATTTATTAAATATACTAATATTATACAATTTATGTAACCTTTTAATATATACATAACATTTATATAAATATTAAATTTATATAACATACATTTAATAAGAAGTATGAAGAGGAATTTGAAGAACCAGGAAACACTGTGCCTTACAAAGTTGAATTAGCTGATGCAGACATTCAACAAAGGTAAGATCTTTCAAATTTACTTTGCATGATTACTAAAAACCCATATCAAAAAAAATCAACTATCTTTTTAAATGAGAAACTCATTGTGTCAAAAACATGTGACTTTAATGTTAAGAGTATATTTTACTAAAGCCATATTTAAATTTGCATGCAATGTTGCTAATATTTAATATTTAGCAATTACAAAATTGTCTATAGTGATATGTTTGTACTCTCACCTAATATTTGGATTATTTAATAGATTATACTGAACTTAGGAATTGCTATTATTTAAAATGTTTGACAAAATCTGATATGTTTCGTATAAGCTTTTTGCTTTTCTCCAAAGATACTCTGGATTCTTTTTACTTTAGTTTGCTATGAACCCTAAATAAAAGGTTTTATAAATAATTAGATTGAGAAACTAAAAGAGCTCTTGTGCTACAGTGTTTCCTAGGTAGATTTTTAAATGTGTGATACAAAAATAAATGAAGTATAATGGTTCACTTTATAATTGTTTTGTAGAATTTTGTCATTTCCAAGTGAAAAATAATATCTAACTGTATCTTTTAGTAATGTTAAAAATTACTCAAGTCCCTTTTGCTGTTAAGACATTAGGATTTCAGGTGTTTGACTACAAAGTATTAACTTGAGTAAACAGTGGAATGAAGTTCCTATTAAGTGTCCCCTTCACCAATTCTTTGTTCAGATCAACTTACGCTCCTATCAGCATTTTGCAACAGCTACGGGCCTGAGTGATGCCCTTGGGCCGAAAAAGCCCCATGTTTAGATACAAAGAACCAGATAACTAGAAGCAAATGTACTTTTCGAAGCAGGGTTTTGGCAGGAGACAACTTTTTGTTCAGCAGATAAGAGGTTTATATCCACTTCTGTATCTCCAAGGAAATGAATGACATTTTTGTTCTCTAATTTGATTCTTTTATATATCTTATCACATGTCTTTGCTTTGACCCCTATGTTCGGTGTTAGAGAAGGTGGAGGAAGTTACTGATCATGTTTTGGCAGTAGTTTTAGAATGTTGGTTTGGAGGTACCCGTAGTTAACTACATTAACTTTATCTCTCTACTGGGGAGGATGAGTGACACAAAAGCACCTTTTTGGTTAAGTATAATCCATGAATTTTACGGTGGTTCTCTGTAGAGTTTACATAAATATCAACTACTATTAAATATATTATTCAATTCATAAAGAATGTTACTTAATTGTAACTATGCTTATAGATAGTAATCATTATGAAACCTAAATACCACATGCTGTTTTTAAGTCATTGATGAACAAATATTTTTATATAGTAATAAAACATTGATTTCATAAGATTTTAATGAGTTTGAAAGATGACACTCCATTTTTAGAAGAAAGTGAGAAATCAAACTTATTTCAGTATGTTTTAAAAAAGAAACTTTCAATTTAAATTTTGCACTTCAAATTAATTTTGTTTAGTTGCTTATTCCTTTTACATCTATTATACTATTTACTTGCTTCTAGTTTAGAATGTGTTCACAGTAAGGTTAAAATAAATATTATATTAATGTAAACAACCCTATTCCATTAAGGTTTTACTATTTTTGTTTTAATAAACTGAGACTCCTTTATTTTCTTTTGTATCATTTCTTTCAACTTTATTCTTTTGTTTGTCCCTACACATGGAAGTTATGCATTTCATGATTATCAGAAGAATAATTTTCCATATGAAAATGGCATCTATCAACATCATATTTTCAACAACGGGAAAATAGACCTATCACATCTTTGTCTGAGAAACAGCCCTACATATTGTAAAGATAATTCAAAAGGTAGCTTTTTTCTTAATTGCTTAATAGTATTTACAGTTCATGTTGGTAATTTAATGAAACCAATATGTATGGTAGTCTATAAAAGCTTTATCATTATGATGTTCATTTTAAAACCAGAAAATTTAGAGCTCAGAAGAAAATTAGTTGAAAATATATAATTTTCGAGCAGATACTGTTTTTAGTCCATGGACAACAGTGGGTATATTCATGAGAAAAATCAGCCAATATAGGGATCTCTAAAAGTGATTATGGACAGAAATACTGTTAAAAGATAACATGGAAGACCTTTTAATGACAGAAGCCTGATTGGCAACGTATTGCCTTCACTTGCATTAAATATCTTGCAAAAATATTCAAATTTGGCATAAAGGCTCATATGAGACAAACCTAAACCAAACAAATCATCTTGTTTATATTTCTATGTTATTATTACTAGTAATTTCCTTGGGATCTATTAATATAAATTAGAATGCTTTATTATATTATATTATGCTATATTATATTATGCTATTAATATAAATTAGAATATACATATCAATTTTCATATTGTGAGATCATCACTTAAAGAGATTCTGACCTGGGAGTCATATTTTGTTTCCAGTTCTATGTTTAAATCTCTATGTGACCCTGAACATGTCACTTTCTTAGACCTCATTTTCCTAAGCAAATATAGGAACTAGATAAATATCAGGTTTCCTTTTATGTATTATATTTGGTCTATGTAGGATTTTAAGAAAAACCAATAAATATATCTTATGTGAAGACTGTGAGAGATACCAGAGGGCATATTTAAAATGAGTAGTTGTAAAACTGATGATTACTTTCTGATTGGGAAGCAGAAGATAGAAAACAATAAATTTGTGGTAATCCTGCTAGTCATGACATTTTCAACTACTAAACCACTAAATCTTCATGGGCAAGTATGAACTATAGCACGAGGGAATTTAGGACTGTACAATGCTGCAGGTATGGTCCAGAAGATGAGAGTTGTTTGACCAAGCAAAGCATGGAGTTCCTGTTGCCTTAGGGAAAATGCTGAACATAAATGCCTATATAAATGTTATTTAAATACATAGTTTTAAAACATGTATTTTTTTAGAGCAGTTTTAGGTTCACAGCAAAACTGAGCATGGTATGGTTTTCCAACAGTTTACATCCTTCCTCAATATTTCTTAGTTCTCCCTGTAGAGATCTTTCACCTCCTTAGTTAAATATATTCCAACAACAGTCAAACTGAGAACCAAATCAAAGACTCAATACCCTTCACAATAGCAAAAAAGACAATAAAATACCTAGGAATATATTTAATGAAGGGTATGTGGTGATATCTGATTTTTGTTTTTTTTCCCTAAAGACATGTGATGTTGAGCATCTTTTAATATGTTTATTTGCTATGTGTCTATTTTCTTTGTTGAGCTATCCATTCAGGCTTTTTGCCTATTTTTTGATTGGGTTGTTGGATTTGTTATTGTTGAGTTTTAAAAGTTATTTGTATATTTTGGATAATACTATTTTATCAGATATGTCTTTCCAAATACTTTTCCAGCCTATGGATTATCTTCTCATTATCTCAAAAGTGTTTTTCACAAAGCATAAGTTTTACTGAAGTTCAGTTTGTCAATTTTTTCTTTGATGTGTCTGAAAAGTCATTGTCATACCCAAGGTCATCTAGGTTTTATCCTATGTTATCTTTTGGGAGCTTTATGGTTTTACATTTTACATTCAGGTCTATAATCCATTTTAAGTTAATTTTTTTTTTTTTTTTAAGATAAGGTCTCATTCTGTCTCCCAGGCTAGAGTGCAGTGGTGCAATCATAGCTCATTGCAACCTCCAACTCTTGGATTCAAGCTATCCTCTTGCTTCAGCCTCCAAAGGAGCTAGGACTACAGGCATGTGCTGCCACACCCAGCTAATTTTAAAAAAAAATTGGTAAAGACAGGGTCTCTCTATGTTGTACAAGCTGGCCTCAAATTCCTGGCCTCAAGCTATCCTCCTGCCTTAGCCTCCCAAAGAACTTGGAATACAGGTATTAACCACTGATCTCAGCTAATTTTGAGTTAGTTTTTGTGAAGAGTATAAAATCTATATCTAGATTCATTTTTTTTGCATGTGGATATCTAGTTTCATTTATTTAAAAGACTATCTTTTCTCTACTGTATTGCCTGTTGTCTTTTATCAAAGATCAGTGACTATGTTTATATGGTCCTACTCTGGGCTCTCTAGTCCATTCCATTGATCTATTTGTCTATATTTATGCCAATACTACACACTGTCTTAATTGTTGTAGATTGATAGGGATTCTTGAAATAGAGTGGTCTCATTCTTTTGACTTTGTCCTTCTTCAGTATTGTGTTGGCTATTCTGGGTCATTTGTTTTTCTATATAAACTTTAGAATAAGTTTGACAATATCTACACAGTAAGTTGGGATTTTGATTAGGATTGCAGTAAATCTATAGTTTAGAAAAAACTGATATCCTGACAATATTAAATCTTCTTATGCATCAACATGAAATATTTTTCCATTTATTTAGTTCTTTAATTTCTTTCATTAGAACTTCATGGTTTTCCTCATATAGATCCTGTACATAATTTATTAGATTTATACTTAAATATTTCATTTTGGGGGTGCTAATATAAATAGATTTATGTGTTAGGTTTCAAATTCATTTATTCATTACCAGTGTAGAGGAGCCTGATTGACTTTTATATGTTTATCTTTTGTCTTTCAACCTTGCTATTATTTTTTATTAGTTCCAGGTATTTTTTTTTTTGTGAGTCTCTTAGATTTTCCAAATAGACAATGTCTTACTTATCATTTTGTATACATTTTATTTCCTTTTCTTTTCTTACTGTATTAGCTAGAACTTCTAGTATGATATTGAAAAGTATTGGTGAGAGGGGGACATCCTTGCCTTTTTCCTGATTTTAGCACAAAAGTTTCTACTTTCTCACCATTTAATATGTTAAAGCTATAGGGTTTTTTGTAGATGTTCTTTATCAAATTAAGCAAGTTCCTTAGTTAAATATATACCTAGGTATTTTATTTTCTTTGTTGCTATTGTGAAGGGTATTGAGTCTTTGATTTGGTTCTCAGCTTGACAGTTGTTGGCGTATAGGAATTCTACTGATTTCTGTACGTTGTTTTGTAAGCTAAGACTATGCTGAAATCTTAAGTAAAAAGAAGAAATTGGGAGGCATCCATTTACCAGACTTCAAGCTATACTACAAGGATATGATAACTAAAACAGCAGTGCATTGGCACAAGAACAGAGACATAGACCAATGGAACAGAACTGAGAATCCAGATATAAAACCATCCTCCTATAGCCATCTAATCTTTGACAAAGCAGACAAAAACATACGCTTGGAAAAAGAATCCTTATTCAATAAATGATGCCTGGAAAATTGGATAGCCATATGTAGAAGACTGAAACAGGATCCACACCTTTCATCTCTCACAAAAACCAACTCATGGTAGGAAACAGACTTAAGCATAAAACTGTAAGAATTCTAGAAGAAAATGTTGGAAAAACTCTTCTAGACATTGGCCTAGGCCAATAGTTTATGAAGAAGATCCCAAAGGTAATCACAGCAAGAACAAAAAGAAATAAATGGGACCTGATCAAATGAAAAGGCTTCTGCACAGCCAAGAGCAAACAGACAATCTACAGAATGGGAGAAAATATTCACATGCTGCACAACTGATAAAGGGCTGATTACTAGAATATGTACAGAACTCAGGAAAATCAGCAAGAAAAAATCAAACAACCCTATCAAAAAGGGGGCAAAAGACATGAACAGAAACTTTTTAAAAGAAGGTAGACTAACGGCCAAGAAACATATGAAAAAATGCTCAACATTTCTAATCATCAGTGAAATGCAAATGAAAACCACAGTGAGATATCACTTAACTGCAGTGAGAATGGCCTTTATCAAAAAGTCCAATATAATAAATGTTGGCGTGGATGCGGAGAGTCCCACTGCTGGTGGGACTGCAAACTAGTACAACCTCTGTGGAAAGCAATATGGAGATACCTCAAAAAAGTAGAACTACCATTTGGTCCAGGAATCCCATTACTGGCATTTATCCAAAGGAAGAAAAGACATTCCATAAAAAAATTATCTGCCCTAGAATATTTATAGAAGCACAATTCATAATTGCAAAGATGTGGAATCAACCCAGTGCCCATCAATACATGAGTGGATTAATAAAATGTGGTATATATATATCATGGAGTTCTACTCAGCCACAAAAAACAATGGTGATCTGGCACCTCTTGTATTATCCTGGATAGAGCTGGAGCCCATTCTACTAAGTGAAATATTGCAAGAATGGAAAAACAAGCACCACATGTACTCACCATCAAATTTGTATTAATTGCTTAACCCTTAAGTGCACATGTAGTAATAACATGCATTAGGTGTCAGGCAGATAGGATAAGGTAAAAGGGGATGGGTATATCCACACCTAATGTGTGTGGTGTGCACGGTCTGGGGGATGAACACACTTGAAGCTCTGACTCGAGTGGGCAAGGGCAATATTTGTACCCTTGTAATATGCTGAAATAAAAAAAAAGTTAAAAACAAAAACAAATTAAGGATATGCCATTCTTGTTTTAGTTTGTTGAGAGTTTTTTTCTTTCATGGATTGGTGATGGATTCTGTCAAATACTTTTTCTGCATCTCTTGATTTGATCATGTGATTTTTATTCTTTAGTCTGTCTATTTGATGGATCAGATATATTTTTGAATGTTAAGTCATTATTTCTATGTCTTAGATTTTCAATGAATAGACTAAATTAAATAATACTTGTACTTTCTGCATTGCACTTTTAACATTACTAAAAGGCTGTTTTGTTACTTTTCATCAGGAATGGATACCAACAGTGGAATTTGCAATTTTACAGAAATATTATGGATGGTGGTTGTAGACATCTTTATATAGGCAATGGCATCTTTTTCTTCCAAAAAACCAGATAATTTATATTCAAGTTTAAGAGGGAAATGTAGCATTATTGTGGAAATTTCGTTCATATTGAATAGCCTTTATGATATCGTTTTATAAAAGTATTTCTCTGGCATATATGTTATTTTATTTGTCACAACATTTGTGCTGTATAAGATGTGACAGTAGTTGGACATGAAAGTTGTAAATATTATGCATAATTGCCAAGTTATATAAACATTTGAATACAACAGGTAAGTCATTTGAGCTATAAAGAAGAATGTACATCACTGGAAACTATTTTAGTAAAAGCTTCTGCTTTTATAGTCTACCTATATTTGTTCTGGAAAAAGAATAAGGGCTAACCAGATGAAGCTGTATTCAATCTGAATGATATACATACTTTTATTTACATTGAAAGCAATGTGGTATAAACATTTTTAAAGAATTTTTGTTCTTCAGAAAATGTAGACTAGGGTTTCAGCAACCTGCCTGCACATTATAATCACCTGGAAAACTTAATGGGGGGAAATTTAAATGGCCAGTGCCTGAGCCCCACTCCCACTATCTGATTTAATTGGTTTAGGGTCAGGCCCATACACTGACAATTTTAAAGTATACCTGTAGATGATTTCGTTCTGCAGCCTGGTTGAAAACGAATGATTTACTTCAGACATAATGAGGTGTGTGACTGATATAATCTTGCTCATTTTGTAGCTTTCTAGAGGCAGATGTCCTGCTACACTTTCTCTGTGCCCCCAACTGCTGCTATTCTTTCATCTGGAAGTTTTCCCTATGCCCTCTCCTTATCATTAGGCATGCTAGGGAAAAGAGGTAGAATGTGGAAGAAATGTTCCCTCTGCATTACTTTTCATCGATTGTGGTTGTAAAATTCGAGTAGAAGTTAAGGTGGAGAAGTTGGAATTAAACCATAAGCTGAAATAAAAATGTGCATCAATTTTAAGATTTCACTGCAAAATATAATCTTGCCTCCTTCCATTAGTCTACCTCATTAATGTTTGGCTGTATAAATAAATTATGATTACCATGTATGAATGTAAGCATAGTAAAAGTAAAATTCAGTGAAAGAATTTGAATAAAATAGTGTTCATTGATAAAGGTTTTTTTTTTTTTTACCACAGAACTCTTGGTTTATAAACAGTTTAATTAATTTATTTGTAAATCTGTGTTTTCAACAGCAGGAACTTCAAATACAGATTTTGACAACACTGTGGATTCCAACGTTTATTCTTCTGATATTGAAAAAATAGAGGAAAGCAGCATCTTTGAAAGAAATTTAAAAGAAAAGACTATAGATATAAAAAGTAATCAAAAGTCTGATGATTCCTATATATCACCTGGGAGCAAAGATTCTTTACCAAGTATAGAAAAACCTTCCATTGAAGAGAAATTATCTCAAGACAACAAAGAACCCTTGGTATTTAGCAATCTGCATGGGAGGCCAAATGTTGAAGATTCTAAAACCAGAGAGTCGCCACTGGTAAATCTCTATTATGTTTATTATATTAAAATTTAATAAGAAATTTCACAAGAAAATGTCATAGTGACACAATACATTCTTAAGTTACTTTCCATTGGCCTTAAAATGTGTTACATTATATTATTGTGAAGTAGGTGAAGGCTGACTCATATGGGAAAAACATTAATGACTTCCAGGACAAATTTTAATATGGTGAATGCCATTTTAACAAATGGCTTTCTGCAACAAATAATACTTTAAGGCTTACCTTATGCACTATAGTAAGAGTGCTGTTACTTTTCCAAATGAAATTCATTATTATGAATAATACAGTGTAATAAATCCTTTTTAGCTTTTTACTATAGTATAGTCACTGGTTAAAATGAAATAAATGCAGATATGTAGATAGAACTGGTTTCTGTGGCTTAATGTAAGTATAAGGTGAAGAAGATAATTCTTTCAGGAATATGGCTAACAAAGAAATAGAGGTGTAGTTTTTGTTGCTCATCAAAGAACAAAAATGCAAAATAGATCATTATTGCATTCTTGCCAAATTTTAAAACTATATTTGAACCTCCATTCTATATACTAGAAAACTTTAGTAATTCTGACTATTACCAATACATTCTTTGGAAATTAGTCAAACATTTTAACAACCCTTTGGAGTAAGTCAAACATTTTAACAACCCTTAAAATTCCTTTATGATAAATCTCAATGGTGCCCACATTGAAGACAGAACCAAAAAAGCAGAAGAGTTAATCCTTGAGAGCTGCTACTTCTGCTGAGAGGACTGGCTTCCCGTGGTGCCCACTTTGTGAAGGGGTATGCCTTTGTGAGGTGAGAAATCGGAACTGAGACCACTGCAAAAACTTAGATCCCTAAAGTTCTGCTCAGTCACTGAAGTAATACACTGGGAGGAATGAGAAATACCCACACATGCAACAAGATTAGGGGAAACTGATTTCCTTAGGAAATTTGTGTCAGGTCAATAAAATATCTGACTTCAAAAGTGGAAATCTTAGGCTTTCATTTAGCACAAGTTCAGATATACCTATTCAAATACATATTTGAATACACACTTCTTGTTTGGAATTTTTAAGCCAAGAAATTAACATTATTATTGTTAGTGCATGCCTTTAATACCTTAATGTATCTGGCAGAGGTAAATCCTAATGCTTTGTAGAAAGGCATCTCTACAGGCTAACTCAAAATAAATTCTCCAAAATAAAGCCCCACTACAGATGGGCTTATCTTCCCCATCCATGAATGGAGAAAAAAATTGATCCTAGCATGAATTTCAGCAAAGAGAACAAACAATAGAGTTAGGTGCCACCTGCACATACAGTGGGTTATATTATTAGGACAGGATTTCTCACCTTAGGGAGTCCAATTTTTTTATATTGGGCAGTAAGCCCATCTGACTTTTGTCCTAGAGAAGATATTATCTTTATTACAATGAACAGTAAAACAACCTGCTCTTTGGTCTAGAAAGAGACACAATCTATCCTGTGAGATTATATTTAAAATACTTCAAGATAGACAGGAAAGAATCCAAGCACTTAATAATAAGATATTATGAACTGCTCTATTTATGAAGACCAATCAGAAGGTCTTAAGATTCAAATTATATTCACTGAAATTATAACTATGGAACATAATAAACAGCATATTAAATATTAATAAATAGATGATTAGTAACCTGGAAGATAAATTTTTAAAAAATGCTTGTATTGCAGCAAAGATACATAAAAAATTAGTATGTGTGAAAGAGGGATTATAAAATATTAACAAAGTATTATTCCAGAGCAATATAAATAAAAATCAATCTACACTATTACATATATTTTTGAGACAAGTCATAACATTATAGACAGTCTTAAAAGCAACCAGAGGTAATGGAAGATTATCTCCAAAAAGCAATTACTATATTGACAGTAAAATACTCATACACGCAACTTATAGTCTTAACACATGACATAGTGGAACATTATCTTTAATGTTCTAAGAGAATTGACTAACAATCTAGAATTTTAAGGTTCGTGAAATTGTCATTCAAGACAGAGTAAAATCATGGTATGTTTAGACAAAGGCTCAGGTAATTTACTTCTTACTACCCTCCTTGAAAGAACAACTGAAGGATATACTTCAGGAAGAAAGAAATTGAACCCAGAAGGAAGAAATAGGATGTAAGAAATTGGTGCGGGGGAAATGGCAAATATATTAGATGTATTATAAAATAATTATTACCATGCCTAAGTTAGAATTATAAGAAAATAAATTTGAATGAAAATAATATAAAACCATAACTTACAATATTGTGTTGAAACTAGTAAGGTCTTATGTTGTAAAGAAGAGTGGAAATCATTGACTAACTACAGTGTTTTAGAAAATTATACGTGTTAAATACTTTGAGTTACAGTTAAAATATTACAGACATTACAGATACAATGTATTATCTAAAACAGTAAAGGAAAAAGAGAATATAGAAAACTTAATTAATTGAAATAGGAAAGAAATGCATCAAAGTGAAAATAGTATGATTAGTGTTAGGAGTAAAGTTCTTCTTCTGTCTCTTGTGTTTTTGCACATTTATTGAGTGAAAGCACTAGTTACCTTTGTTCCAAAGTATCTTTTCAAGGGTGCTTATATAGCAAACAGCCTTGGAAGGTAGAGATTGTGTCTCTCTCCAAAGCAAAGAGCAGGTATGTTTATTGTCCAGTGTTATAAAGATAATATCTTCCTCTAGGAAGGTCAGGCAGGCTTACTGCTTAGTATGAAAGAATTGGATTCCCTAATTACTGATATATCAGTAATTACGTGAATAAGTTATATAATGTGCATATCTTCATCTTTTTAAGTATTTCATAATTAGAAATGAAATGTTTAAAAAGTTACTAATTGTATTTTGACTCTGTATATGGCTATTGTAAAAAACATGTTCCTTTGTTAAAAGTGGTAAATGATGAGATTATTGAGCATAGTGCTTTATATATCGTGAATTATTCAGGAAACAATTACTCAAATTTACTGAAATATTCTCACCAGATTTATTGAGGATTTATGAGAATGTTTTAGTATTATCCACCTGGATGTTGAAAAGAATCTGCATATAGCACAACTATTTTGATTTTGGGATAACAACAACAGAATTGTTGCTTCGCTATTTTTGAAGAAGGCAGTAATTACCTACAATTTTAGGTGAGGCACTCCTTAGTCTATGTCGAGGATAGTTAAATGCTTTTCTGGAGAGGACTACTTATTTCCTTGCCCCTCATATTCCCATAAAGGGAAGGAGACTAAGCTTCATCTCAAGAAGGGTGCAGAATTGGAATGAACCCTGCCAACCCAACACCTTACTCAATTCTCTGTATTGAAGGAGGAGTAATAACTGGTTAAAGACTATCAGAATTTGATATCCATCAGGCTTTATTTACCAGGGCATGGAAATGGCCTTGAGATAAATTTGGCTCATTATGTTGCTAAGATGTCTCTTTCTTTCTACCTCTCCCTGCACTTCCACCGCCCACCTGTTTTTATGTGTGTCTGCTATTTTCCTTTTGTGTATGTGTCTGTTTGGATCTATTTCTGATCTCCTCTCTTTCTTTGGATCTCTTCTTTACCAGCAAGCTCTCAATGGAGTGTTGTCCTTTTCTACTTCCCTTCTACAAGTCTTCATGTAATAAACTCACTGGGAAAAGTTTTCCTTGTCATTCTCCTCAGTTCAGTAAGAGAGGAGTAGGGAATCATGTATTACCCTCAGGCCCTGCCCATTTTCCAATCCAGTTTTCCAGGGAACCTTCAATTTAGGCAATTAATACGGTGACTTGCATTCCGCCTGACCTCCTGGCCTGCTCTCAACTGATCAGAGTCTGTCAGGGCAGCTGAGACTTAAATAGGAGCCCCCCTGCCCCAAATTCCAGCAGTGTTTTTTTACTTCTTTTGTGTGGTGATATATTCAATATACCACCCTATCGGATTAATGTAAAAGGTCTATCAATAAGTTTAGATGTTTATTCAAAGAAGGGTATGTGTGGTTAGGACGTATTACTGTTTTATCATTTAACACTATAAATTGCTCAGTATAAAATATATTCTAACGGAGTTAGCTCTGGAAACAATCTGAATGAGCATTTAAATTCCTGGGATCCATAACATCCTCACCGGTTCAAACCTGTTGAAATAATCAAAAGCCAGTGACGTGTAAAATGGCTTACATGGTTATTGTTTTTTTCAAATAGATGAGACTAAATGTAGTTTTGGACAGTAGTAAAGTAGTTGTATGTACACTTGCCTTTTCCTCATAGGGAATGTTTGACTGAGAGACTTGCAATTTGTTCAGGAAGAATCTGTCCTAGGATTTTAAAGGAATCTTCAACAAACTAATGGATCTCTAACTTGAGGATTGCCCTTTTTATGAATAAAATAAACTATATTTTAATCCATTCCTAGGCAATTATCTCTGAGGGATAGAAAAGTGTAAACAGCTTCACAGAAATTATCCACCACTTTCCAATTGTAAAAGGATTTAAAATGAGTGGTGAAGATTCTTAAGATCCTCCCTGGAATCACTGAAGTTGTTAGGTCACAGCTAGAGAGAATTTGAGGAGTTGCAAGACAAAAGGTGACCCACAGGGGGCTGTAAGATAAAGAGAGCTTTCTAAAGAGGCCATCAGAAGAATTGACACTTCACAGTTTGCGGACTAAATTTTTGCTTCTGAATAGTTAAGTGGTTGAATCTACTTTCTTTTCATCCTTAATGACTAGCCCTGAACTGTTTTTATTCTCCTCCTGCTCTAGCAGAAGGCATTCACTGAGAAGAACTACTTAGAAATCTATTGTGCTCCATCCAAATTGAGTGTAAGATTGTTCATTTTGCACTTCAGTTTCAACAAATTTATTTCTTCATAAAGTGGAACTTCCTATGGAATTAAGTACTAAGTTGTAGGGCAGCAGTTGGGAAGAACATGAACTAGTCAGAGGTCCTTTGTTCTGGTTCTGAAACTTTCAATAGTTAACTTTGTGAGTTTGAACAAAAACAAATAAAATAAAATATCACTCTAAGTTTTCTTATCTGTAAATCAAGACATTTAAAACCCTTCCAGATTTGCAATTGCATAATTCAAATATGAAATTTCCTCACTAAAGTTGAGGAAATTCTGTAATTGTTAATAAATGTCTGGGAAAGCCAGGGAAGGTGTCCTGAGAGTGTGGACTTTGATTGATCTTTGTTGGTCGCTAACTTTGTTTTCTAATATGTTCTCATATCTATGATTTATAAATTTGTATAGAGTTATAGCAATTTCCTTTATATTATTTAATTCCTTGAAACAGACTGTATTGGGCATTAGAGTCATTAAGGATTTGTTAAATACTACTGATAGCTACTTTGATTATTTTAAGCTCATCTGGAACTCTTCTGAATTACTCATCTGTTTCTTAGCTAGATTCTTGTGGCATTTTTTTTTAATCCCAGTTATATTCTATCCCAGAATAAGAGCACATAAAAATGAATTAATAGGGTGGTAGAATAAGCCTAGATCAAACAGATCTGTGTTCAAAGCCTATGTCCGCTAGTTTCTAGCTATATAAAGCTATACAAACTTCAGAAATTGCTTATCTTCCTCTTGCCTCAGTTTCCTACTTAAATATTTGTTTCATGATGAATATTTTGCTAACTTGCATTTTGTCTACAACCATTGTCAAACATATATGCCCATTGGTATTTTACTTTCACCTTTGAAATTATTTTATGTTTAGACAAAGGCACTAGTTCAAAGGCAGTGCATATGAAAGATGCTATGTATTCCAGAATAATTTATGTGTAAAAACATTGAGAGAAGAAAATAAAAAAGAGAGAAATGACAATTTCCTTTTATTTTATTAACTTCTGTCCTCCTTGCATTGACTGTAAATTTCAGATAATTATTCCAATTGGGGTTTATACATTTTAGAAATATATATATATATATACACACACACACACACACATATATATATTATGTTATCATTTGTCTCCATTATTAGAACCTAAATTTTATAAGGGCAGAATTCATGCCAAGTATATAGCTGGCTATTTAATGAATGAATGTACTTCTTTTTAATTACGTAGAAAATGAATTTAATTTTGTTGAATATTTTGTTTTCTAGCTGTTACAAGAAATAGCCCTCAGAAGTAAGCCTATAACTGGACAATATCAAGGACTTGAGAGATTCTTTATTTCTGATGAAAATGAAAGAGTCAACTTACCTCCTTCTCATACTTTAGAATGCAGCTATTCCAGTACTGGGATTACATTTGCAGGTAAATTCATACATGAAATCAGATGACCTATGTACCAGCCTAACAAATTTCTAACTCTTTTTTTTTTTAAACCTCTCTGTCTTCATCTTAGAAAACCAGGCAATTCTGTTCAATGAATAAAATTATTTCCTTCTTGCCTAGCTAAAATTATTAACCTTGTGTGAATTGCCATATATTTATATTTAAGGCTACTATCATAATGTGAGAAAACATGGCTATACTGAAACTGGGGAAAGAATATTTTTAGAATTTGGAAGCATGGCCCTTACTAAATTGTGAAATAGTGGAAACTCTTTGAATTATTTTATCAACTGTTAAATATTATATAGTGATTCTTTAATCCTATCATAAGAACATACCTCAAAATCTCAAGATCTGTGAAATTTCTGAGACATATCTGTAATTTCCTTTTCTTTTCCAATTTTGTTGTTGTAAAATACACATAACCTAACATCTAGCATCTTAATCATTTTTAAGTGTATAGTTCAGTAGAATTAAATACATGTATAATGTTGTGCAACCATAATCACCATTAATCTCCAGAACTATTTTTATCTTGCAAAACTGAAACTCTATACCCATTAAACATTAATTCATCATTCCTCCTTGCCACTAGTCCCTAGCAAACACCATTCTACTTTATTTTTCTAATCGTTTGATTACTCTAAGTACCTTATATAACTGGAATCATACAGTATTTTGGCTTTTTTGTGAATAGCTTCTTTCACTTAGCATAGTGTCTTCAAGTTTCAACCACATTGCAGCATGTGTCATAATTTCCTTTTGTTTTCATAAAAGAAATAGGAAATATAGAAAAGTGAGGATAGAAGGTCTGAAGCTCTGTCTGCTCAGTTTCTCCTTTATGTACCTTTCCAAAATCTAAGACTCTATGGGACATAGCGTGCATATCACTGTTAAAATTGAAAAGGATTTTTTTTAAAAAAGAGTTTTACTTTCTTTTCAAAGTTGAATAATATTCCATTATATGGATATAATACATTTTGCTTATCTATTCATCCATCAATAGACACTTGGGTTTGCTTCTACATCTTAGCTATTGTGAATAATGCTGCCATGAAGATGAGTTGTACAATAGCTGTTCAAGACCCTGCTTTCAATTTTGTTAGGTATACACCCAGAAGCAGAATCAAACTACCCATATGGTAGTTTGATTTTTAGTTTTTTGAGAAACAGCCATACGGTTTTCCACGGTGGTTGTATCATTTTACATTCCTGCTGATAGGGCCAAGAGTTCCAATTTTTCCATGTCCTTGATAATACCTTTTATTTTCTATTTTTTTTTTCTTTTTTTTTTCTTTGAGACAGAGTCTCACTTTGTTGCCCAGGCTAGAGTGAGTGCCGTGGCACAGCCTAGCTCACAGCAACCTCAAACTCCTGGGCTCAAGTGATCCTCCTGCCTCAGCCTCCCGAGTAGCTGGGACTACAGGCATGCGCCACCACGCCCGGCTAATATTTTTTTGTATATATATTTTTAGTTGGTCAATTCATTTCTTTCTATTTTTTAGTAGACATGGGGTCTCGCTCAGGGTGGTTTCGAACTCCTGACCTCGAGCAATCCTCCCGCCTCAGCCTCCCAGAGTGCTAGGATTACAGGCGTGAGCCACCACGCCCGGCTATTTTTTTAATGTACTTATTCTCTTGGGTCTTAGATAGTATATATCATTGTAGTTTATATTTACATTTCTGTAATGATTAATGTTATTGAGTATCTTTTCATGTGATTTTTAGGCATTTGTATATCCTCTTTAGAAAAATGTCTATTCAAGTCCTTTGCTCATTTTATAATTGGTTTGTTTTGTTGTTCAGTTTTAGGAGTTCTTGTATTCTGGATACTATTTCCTTATAAGATATATGGTTTGCAAATATATTCTGCCATTATTTGGGTTGCCTGTTTACTTTTTTGATAGTATCCTTTGATAGAGATTTTAAAAAAACTTTATAAAGTTCAACTTGTCTATAGTTTTTTGTTGTTGCCTATGCCTTCAGAATCATATTTAAGAAATTATTTCCTAATCCAATATCATATAGCTTTTGCCCTACTATATTTTCTTACAAGAGTTTTGTAGTTTTAGATCTTATATTTATGTCTTTGATCCCTTTTGAGTTAATTTTTGTGGATGGCATTAGGTAAAGGTCCAGATTCATTCTTTTGCGTATAGATATGAAGTTTTCCAGAACTATTTATTGAAAAGACTGTCCTCTGCCCACTGAATGGTCTAGGTAGCCTTGCCCAAAATTATTTGACTATGAGAATAGATTTTATGTGTTCTCATCACAAGAAAAATGATAAGCATGTGAGGTAAGGCATGTATTAATTAGCTTGATTTAGCCATTCTATATCATGTGTATATGTCAAAACATCATGTTGTACATCATGAATATATGTAATTTTTGACAAATAATAATAATGATAATTTTACCATATGTGAGCACTTATTTCTGGATTTTCTATTCTATTCCATTGGTCTACATGTCTTTATGCCAGTAATATACTATTTTCATTACTGTTGTCTTTGTAGTAAGTTTTAAAATCAAAAACATGAGTCCTCCAGCTTTGTTCTTGTTTATTAATATTGTTTTGGCTACTTTGGGTCCCCTGTAACCCCAAATGAAATTCAGAATGGATTTTTGTATTTCTACAATAAATGTCATTGAATTTTTGATAGGAATTACATTGAATCTGTAGATTGCTTTGGGTAGTATTGACATCATAACATTCTTAAGTCTTCTACTCCATGAACATGGGATGTATTTCCATTTATTTGTGTCTTCTTTAATTTCTTTAATTTCAGTAATGTTTTATAGTTTTCATTGTACAAGTCTTTCACCCCTTTGTTAAGTTAATTCCTAAGTATTTGATTCTTTTTGATGCTATTGTAAATGGAATTGTTTTCTTAATTTTCTTTTCAGATTGTTTATTGTTAGTTTATATAGAAATGCAATTGCTTTTTTTTCTATTGACTTTATATCCAGCCATTTGGCTGCATTCATTTATTAGTTCTAACAGGGTTTTTTTTTTGTGGAATATTTGGAGTTTTCTGTATAAGATCATGCCATCTGTGAACAGAAATAATTTTAATTCTTCCTTTCCAATTTGTATGCTTTTTATTTCTTTTTCTTGCCTAAATGTTTTGGCTAGAAGTTCTAGTACTGTGTTGAATAGAAATGGTGAAAGCAGGAATCTTTGGCTTGCTCCAGATCTTAGCAGGAAAGTTTTCAGTCTTTCAACATTGAATACAATATTTGCTGTGGGTTTTTCATATATGACTTTTATTATATGAAGTCAGTTTTCTTCTATTCCTACTTTGTTGAGTGTTTTTATCATAAAAAGGTGTTGAATTTTATTAAATGCTTTTTTGGCATAAATTGAGATGATCATTTCTTTTTCTTTCATTCTGTTAATGTGGTATAGTACACTGATGGATTTTCACATGTCGAAGTATCTTTATGTTCCAGGAATAAATCTCACTTGATCATGGTGTCTACTCTTGTTAATATGTTGTTGAATTTGGTTTGCTAGTATTTTGGTGAGGATTTTTGCATCACTGCTCATAAGGAATACTGTTTTGTTGTTTTCTTTTCTTGTAGTGTCTTGTTTGTCTTTAATATTGGAGTAGTGCTGGCCTCATAGAATGAGTTGGTATCCCTCCTCTTAAACTTTTTGGAAAAGTTTGAGTAGGATTGATGTTAGCTCTTCTTTAAGTAGCTTGATAAACTCACCAGTGAAACCATTCATTACAGGATTTTCCTTTGTAGGAAGATTTTTGCTTACAGATTCAATCTCCTTACTAGTTAAATTCGTACTTTCTATTTTTTCATGATTTTTTTATTTCCTTTTGAAAGTTAGGTATTGGTGTCATTTATATTCTTTGGTGGTCTATGTTTTCAAATATGTTTATTAATGTACAAACTATTATACCTTATGTTGTATTATTATATACTTTTTATAATATTTGTTTTTATTCAAGTGTATATATGTATGTGTTTTTATTCAAGCATATATTGTGTTTGGAATTCATAGATATTTATTTAAATCAGGTTATATAAACACATTGGTTTTTATTTTATAATTATGAGATTCTATATTATATAATGTGTATCATTGTTATAAATATTATGTATTCAGTTAAATATTGTGCAGTAAGACAAAAAATATGACAAACTGACAATATAGACTTTTTCCTTTAGAAACTTTAGAACTTTAGGAATTATTGTCTTATAATTTTTCCATTTCAAAAGACAGAGAATGGATCCCAGACTATAGCATAAGTGCATATGCTGATAATGCAGTTGTTTGGGGTGTTCTACAGAGTGCCCAGAATCCATCATCAAATAGAAAACAGCCAAAGACAGGTAAGGTTGACTCGAAGGCAGCAGTACCATGTTGGTGGCTTACTTATTTAGTAGTTTGTTTCTTAGCAGTTTACTAGGCACCTGAAAATTAGTTTTGGCAGTCACATAATTTAAACTTATTTATTTTAACTAACTGTTCTGGACTTTTCTTCCCAAACCGAAAATCCAGCTGTGCTCATTATTCCTCTCAAGTGACATGAATTATAGTCTTATATAGTTATTTTCTATATATAGTTATATATAGAGAAATTATATATAGTTATTTTATATATAGAAATATATTTTATATTCTATATATAGAAATATATATGGTTATTTTCTATAACAATGTATTAGAGAATAATATTTGTAAAATGTAGCTCAAGTTATAGTATATTTTGAACAGTCCTTATGAAATACATACTCAGTTTCATTACACACTCAGAAAGCAGTGTATTTATATCGGATTTTGCATACTCTTTGAGTTGGTTCATATTGTGATCAGACGGAGCCATATGTGAAACAATTGACTTCGGTTAAGATTGTTGCTTATAGCTGTTGCTTAGATAGCTCATTTCTAACTCATGCTGTATGTGTTGATCCTGCAATCTTGATCTCAGTTCATTAATTCCATTCTCTAACCAAAGTAATTGCAAGATTTTGCATGGGATAATTCTTTTGACATGTTGACTGTCCATTGTAATACTTTTCAGATAAGTGTATACAGACTGTATGACACCCTTAAAATCACTAGCATTTTTAGGACATTACTGTTTCCCATTATATCTGCTATAGTAGGTTTGCTTTATGCTGAATTTTGTAAGAAGTTACAGTAGATAATCAATGAATTAAGGCAATTCGACACACATGTTTTGAGTAAATTAGCACTATGCTAGGCCCTGGGGATAAAGGGATGCATAAGTCATGTTTCCTGATCTTAGGGAATTAACAGTTTAAGAGGAATACTTGACAAAGTGGGCTTTTTGCCTTGGTTTAAAGGCTATATTCAAGCCAGATATTTAATTACATATGATTTGTCCATCTATATAAAATTTATACATCTCTCTTGCCCTAAACTCTATGATTAAAACTTCTTGGCTAGCTTAGATTCTTTCCATATGCATTTATGTTGAGAATTTATCAGATATAAAAATTTTTTAGTGGAAAAACAATCCATTTATGATAAATATTTTGGCTCTATAATTAGGTGCCTATTTTCACATCAAAGTCTACAGCAGCTTCAAAAATTCTGGTTGCTTCTTTCTGAGGTAGTCAGAAGGAACTGTTGTAAGTCATTGTTGATGAAAACAAATTTGTACGTATACTATAAGAAATTTATTACAAATTTCTTTAGGCATATCTTTATAAATAAGTAGTAACCAAATCCTTTTATGTATCAATTTGGGCAGATCAGTTGAAACCAATAATTTGCTATAAAAAACAAACAGCTCTTACCTTAGGCCAGGCACTATAAGACACCAACGATATAAAAGACACACTTGTTTCTATTGCCTACTAACTTAGAGTCCAGGGCAGAGGTTTGCACAAGTAGGTGAGAGCATAATCACCTGGGAAACCTATTGTAATGATGATTTCAGGATCTCACTCTTAGAGATTCTGATTCCTTAAAGCTGAGGTAAGACTCAAGAAATTGCATTAATTTTATCAACAACTCTGTATGCTGATATTGATAGTCAAAAAATCATATTTTGATAAAACTGCTACATATATATGTACAAGCACAAAGGTTATGCCATGTATAAGTTCTATAAAAGGACTATAAGTAATGTACTTTAGGAGAGAGGTATTAGTAATAGTATATTTTATCAGTTATAATAGAGGTAGATAAATACTCAGTGTATTTAGGAATAGAGATGATAAAATAATGACTTTTCCATTGAAAAGTATAGACTGGCAACATGTTAGAGACCAGGTGACATTTCAGTTGAGTCTTTAAAAAATAATAACATTTACCAGTTAGGGGAGTTGGAAAATGGCTTTCTGGATAGATGTAGTGGCCTGAAATAAAATAAAAATTTTTAGGCTCTGCCACAAGTTATAGAAATCTTATATTTTGAACTGATGCCAGCTTATAAAGGAATTAATTCTCCTTTCCATAATTTTTTAAGTTTATGAATGTAAAAACATGGTAGCTACACACATGGTAGCTATGTGTGTTTAGCAGCAAGTTCATTGATTCTTCCCACTCTCTGACAAAACTTAATCCTTCTCCACTCCATCTTCCCACCTCTGTAAATGGCACCACCTTTCAAACATTGATTAAATCTGAAACCTGGGCATCATTTTGACTCCGACTAACCACATCCTGTTTATCCCGAGATCCTGCTGATTTCAGCTCCAAAATCAAGCTCAAATCTATCCACTTTTATTGCTCAAGATGAACTCCAGCCAGTTGTCCATCATTTCTGATTTGTGTCTCATTTTTACTTTTATCCCTCCCAAAGCTGTATTACTGTGATGAATTTCCATCAAATTCTGCTGTTTGTAGTCAGTGAATGAATTTTTTATATTTATACTTATAAAATTATTCATATTTATGGCTTATAGGGAGTGAATCATACTTTCCATAAATTTAAACCATAAATTGTGTCATGTCATTCTACCACTTAAAATCAGCCCATAACTTCCTATAGAAGGTAGAAAAAATTATATCCCTTACCATGCATCACTCAGCAATATCTGAGTTGGCTACTCATCTCCCTTAACTGCATCTGCTCCACACTGTAGCCACAATGGCTTTCTTTCTGTTATCAGACAGGCCATGCTTACTTACTTCTTAGCCTTAGAGTTTGCTCTTCCCTCTGATCCAGGATGCTCTGCAACCTCCTTCTCCATCTACACATTTTTCTCTTCATATGATTGGTTCTTTCCATTATTCAGTCTCAGTCCAGACACTACCTCTTTAAAAAGGCTCTCTGAGATCACCCTATCTAATGCTGGTCTTTTGAGTCCCTCTATCACATTTACTTTCATTTATCTTTTTCTTAGAAACTGTCACCATCTAATATTGTCTTTTTTCCCTGCTGTCTCCCACCTTTGATTGGAAAACAAACAAACACAAAAAAACAAAGACTAGCCTATAATGTTCACTGGCGTAGCCTCAGGGATAGTTCAGGGCCTGGCACATTGTAAGTGCTGAGTAAGTGTTTCTGCATGAGTGAAGTAGAATGGTAGGAGTGTGTGTTAGCTTGGAGTGCAACTTGAGGGTAGGGGCAATGTCCCATTCACTTTTGAGTACTCTGATCCTGACACAGTGCCTGTCAGTTTCAGAAGCTGATAAACCATTTTATTATCGAATTGGATTGAGTATTAATTCGCAAGTTCTCAAGAGTTAGATGAGGCTTTAAGACATTGTACGGTCCGATTCCTTAATTTCATTTGTCTCACGTCATAGGATAATTTCTAATTCAGTGAGATGACACAGTAGATTTAAGCCAACCAGCTTAGCATTCTTTCCACCAAACCATGCTGTTCAATAAAATTTCCATATATGTTTCAAGAACTCTTAGAAAACTCTATTTTTTTATGTATAAATTCTTATCAATTTATACAATGGGAAAAGAATATGAATAGTAATTATTTGCAGCCTTTTTGGGATTAAAATATTGGATTCTTTGATAAGTATGTTATTTGTTATTAAAGCACTATCCAAAAATCACATTGTTATAATTATATTTCATCTAATTTCAATGTTCTACTTTGAATAGCAATAACAATTATCATTGTATTAAACACCTTTCTATGAATGATTCATATTTTTATATCCGTATTAGTATTCTTGTGTACATTGATGTAATCCGAAGGCACCATTGAATGTTATCTTCTCGATATCTGGCATAGCTTCATCATGGAGCATAAATTCTGTAGCTCATATCAAGAAAAATGTTGGAGTTACATTTACAGTATAGCTGTGATCAGTGTTAATAATTTCCTAAGATTAAATTGCCAGTGATGGCACAGTTACTACAAAAGTAATTTCTTATGTATATAATCTATCAACTGGGCTTTTTAAAAATTATGGAATGATTGAGGCATTTTTAATTAGTGCTACTCTTATTGTTGGGTAAAATCTTAACCTTGTTAATAACATTAATAAACTTATACATTAAACATTACAGAGAATTATATAATGACCTAAATGAATAATAAACAATAAATAAATAAAATCAAGGACCAAATCGAAGCCTTTTTCTGTGTTTTGTTTTCTTTAAATTACACTTGGAGCATATTTCCAGTAAGAAAGGAGGTCTGTTTCTGTCTGCTGTGTATTAATAAGCAAAAGTCTGACTCATATTCTGGGTACACTTTTTTCTCAATTGGGATCAATTAACTTCAAATACTGTGGCAATCTGATGTTGTAAGAGTTCAGCAGTGTTTGTGCTTGTCTGAATTTTCAGACAAGGGCATCTATATTAAAATTTTCTTACTCTGTATTTGTCTTTGTTGGCAGAAGTCTAGTCCTTACTAATAACTTGTTACTTTTTAAAAATAATAAGAGTTCTAAATTCCTTTAAATTTTACCTTGACTGAGACATATCGTAATACAGATACAAGAGTATGGTTTTCTCCATAGATCTAGAACTTTTTGTTTATATAGTGAATTATTGTTATACTCACCGATTTGTGGTGCTACTGCTAATCCTACTATTACTACTATTGCTTCATTATATAGGAATGGCAAATTTGGTTTTCTTGATAGCTATGAATAAAATACTGATTCTTTACATATTCTAGATAAAAGAGAAAATCACCTCCAAATTCTAGTCATCAAAATAACTCCTAGGGATATGTTTATATATTTTTTAAAACATAGGCACATTTTAGTTATTTTTCTTCAAAACTATCCCTGAGCACAGACACAAAGAAGGTCAGAATCTTATTTTAATATATTCATAATTTCATTGCAACAAAAATTGTTTTAAAATTGATTTCTGAAATGTTCATTAAAAATTGGTGCCCTTTGGGACTTAGCTTAGTCATTTTTAATTGCTTAAATAATTAGGCACTGTATTCATATTCGTCTTAAGGTATTAGCTACATTCTAAGTAAATTTTAAGTTAAAAAAAGGCAAACTCAATAGTCATTAAACGTTTAGTATGCAACGACTACCTGTAGTCACTTTTTTGAATTTTACATTTTCCTTTGAGTCATTAGAATGGGCACAATGCTATATGGCATATATTCAGACAAATCTTGGTTTTAATGGTAATGACAATTGCACTTTAAAGAATTCAATATTCTATACACAGCCAGTTTGTATTAGGGAAAGGCAAAGTTATAATATAAATTATATTTACTATAAATATATTAATCTATATCAGAACAATGATTTAATACATTGAAAAATTTACCTGCACAATGAATTTTTAATTTGTACTTTGAAAATTACCTTGGCCTTATTGAAGAATCTTTTGTGAGAAATACCAAATTATAAACTAGTTATGTTGTATTAGTGTAAGATTTGAAGAGGTTTGTTTTTTTTTTTTCCTACTGTGAAAAAAACATGTATGTTGAAGAAATCAACTAAGTCTGTATTCGAAATAGATGGAGACAAAATTGTTACTGCCCTAGTGGAACAATGTAATAACGTGACATACCTGTGCTTCTGGAACTTTTCCACTGAAGTGCCCTATAATGCAGAAGAGAGTAAGCTTATATTTAGGAAAATTTGAGATGTGATCTTGATATTTTTTAAGATGTTTGTCTAAAAATTCACACATTTTGCATATTAGCCTCTTTTATCTCCATATTTTTTAATGCAAGAATGAATTACACACCATCAAGTAAAATTGGCTCATTAAGAATTGGCATTATGTTTATTTTATGGTTTTTTTGTCTTACAAGGTGTAGTGTGATAATTGCCCTAGAACTTAAGAAACATGGCAAAGTGCTTGGCTTTGAGATAGATTGTAAGATTGTGTGTTTTGGTCTGAAGTTTACTTGGTTTATGATATTTTTGCTTAGTTGATATTGAAATTATTGTCTTTTTCTAACTGTAGAAAAGTTAAAAAAATAATTGCCCAGAAGTGCTCTTTATGACATTGGGAAAATAATTTGAGGTTAAAATTTATAATTTTTATAAATTAGCTAGATATATAATTATATATTTATATTATATATATAATATATATTTTTAAATTAGCTAGCTATAATATAATAATTATATTATTATTAGCTAGAATGTATAATAATCAAAATTAATTTCTCATAAACGCTGTTGTATGAACAAGTGCTCTTTGTGTAGGGGGCTGGTTAAGTACACATTCAAAGCTTTAAAAAGTTGATTTAAAAATTTTTCTTTTCATTTTAGGCCAAACATCACAGAGACCTTCAACAGCAAATTTACCACTTTCCAACTCTGTTAAAAAAACTCCTGCCGACTTTCATCCTCTCATCCTCGATCAAGAAGTTGCTGCTCGATCATTATCTAGAGCTGCTTCCGAAATTTCAGAAATTGAATATATTGATATTACTGACCAATGTGAGCTTTTCTTAGATGACACGGCTGACCAACAAACCTTAGACAGTTTGGAAAAAGAATTAAATGTGCTGAGAAATCTTTCAGGTAATGGCATTTTTTTCATTGGAAGTAATGTTAACTCTGCCATTTACCTGATTCTTCATATCTCACTCTAAGAAAACAGCAAGCAAACAAAAAAAAGGCATTTTCTTTTCTTCTTTAACATGAGCCTTTGTGTCTGCTTTCTTGGATATCCCTAATATCACCCTGAAAATGTCATAAAATATGTGGATACCCAGCCACATCAGAGGTGGTGTCCTTGGCCTATGTCACATACACCAATGTTGTGGCATGAGGACTTTCATGTGCATAGAAAAAACCGTTTTCTCTCCTTTATACAAACCAGTGAAGGATTAATCTCTATAGCTCTATGAAAGCCGCTGTTCAACAGTCTTGTTGGAGAATTGAGCTTTAGGGTTTTTAAGAAGTGCTTTCAAGCTTCAATGTGCACAGATCCTTTGGGAGGATCTTGTGAAAATGCAAATTCTGATTCAGTATGTCTGGAGTCAGGTGAGATTCTGACATGTAGCAAGTGACCCAGGTGATGCTAGTGCTGTTAGTTGGCAGACCACAGCTTGAGGAGAGAAATATGCTTGTATATTCTATTTCCAACCTTAATGGATATAGTTTAGCAAACAGCGATCATATTCTTGAACATGCAAAGGTCTAGTTCAGTAATGTAACATCAGAGAAAGTAATCCTTTTACTTTCATCAGAAAGTCATTCACTCAGTTTGAAAGAAGCCAGCTGCAGATCCAAGAGGCAAGCTGGAAATTCTCTGGTCCTGTGCATTTCAAACTTGCTCTATGTTTGTTTTTCCTATTAGTGGTCTCCTTCCTTGACCTTAGAATAATGATTTTGCTATTTTTTAAAAAATGATCATCTTTGTTTTGTAAAATTCAACAATACAAAATATACACAAAAGAAACCCAACTCTCCATACAATCTTACAACTCTTAAAATAATCATTAGCATTTAATGAGCATCATTTTAAACATCTCTTTATATATCTAAATATGTTATATAAGAATATATAGTTAGAATGATGGCTAGATTGAAGGAAAGATGTAATAATTTCATAAAGATAGATTTATGCTTTGTATAATTTTATTCTGTATATATTTACTCAACAAAAGAAAATTGAAATGAAATTAATGAAATTATATGTTTCACATAAATAATATTTCATCATCAATATATTAAGTTGATCTATAAGAAATCACACTTTTGTAGACCCAACTGGTGGACTACTAGAAGTTTTATATAGTTCAATCTATAATGTTTTATAAATATCCCTTAAAATTAAGAGGAAAGATAAAAAGAAACCATAAGCAATTGACACCATTTCTAGCCATATGATTTAGTTTTAGACAGTGCCATTTAAATCCCCATAATAAAAAATGAGGACGTGTTTCCTTATTTTAAAACCACATGTTTGTCTAACAGTATCAAATACATCTTTGTTACAGTTATAATTTCTTATTTGTTAAAGTTTCCTTTCATGTTCTTTTCTTAGTGAACATTTACATGAATTAAATGCTCAGCATCTGTATTTTTTCCATGACTTTTCATTGTTGAGCCTTTTCTCTCGATTCATGTCTAGAGGTTTGATTATGGTGTTCTTTAATAATGTCTTTTATTTTTATGGCCGTTTGGCACATTAGCGAGATATATTTAGTGGATCACAATTCCTTTCCTCTACACTTAGTAGACATTTTCCCACTGTCTCCTGACCCCGAATATGGTGCCAGTTAATACTTTATCACAGTTTTTCATTTAACTTATGTTTGTTGAATTTAATTGTCAAATAATTTTTCCTCTAGGTAGGGTCATGGTAGCTTTTATTACCTGAGTTCTTTTTATGTTTGAGAATGACTGCTACTTTTATATTTGAAAGGTAAATACGGCTCAGGGTAATATCCTTGGTCACCTGTATCTTAAACCTTACACTGATTTGCCATATTCTGGCTCTGAATTCTGCTGTGAATTAATCTGAGCCACCTTAATATTTGTACCTCTGTCTCTCTCCTCAACAGCTTTCTTTCCTGACTGAATGCTTGAAGAATTTTTTGCTTAATCCTTGAAATTCAGTAACTGGACCAGAATTGTGTTTCAGTGTCATAATTCAGCAGTCTTTAAAATGCAGGATTCTTTTTCAGTCTGTAGAATAAGTTATTCCTTAGTTTCAAGAAATTCTCTTTGTATCTTTGAATTGCTTTCCATTCTTTTTGCTTCCTCCTGCTGAGAAACTTATTTTCTTTATGTTCCATCCTTTTTAAACAAAGTATTATATTTTCTTCAATTGTTTAACGATTTTTTCCTTTCATATTTACTGTTTTTATCTTCTATGTCAGTATTACTGAGCTTATCTTCTATGTCACCATTTCATGTTCACCTAACTATAATCCACTCTTTATCACTTGATTTTAAAAAAGTAGTTCTCAAAATATGTTGCTTTAACTTTTTCTTTGATTTTTTGTATTCTTTATTTTGATATAATTTCAACTTACAGAAACTTTTTGAAAGTATGTACTTTATCCGGTTCATTAGCTGTCTGTCCTTTGTCCCATTTACACACAATTTTTTTTCTCAACCCATGTGAGAGGAAATTATAAACATTGTGACTCTTATTTCAAAATTTATCATTTATTTTTTATTACTACATAAATTTTACATATTTACATCAGCCTGCAATGGCAGTGCAGTGGTTGTGGCCAGTAGAATTTGTCCTTGGGCATGTGACAATGTATCACACCTCCTCTTGGAGGGGCCAAGGTTGCTGTTCATTATTCTTCACATTGCCCCAGTGGTGATGACAGTTGCAGACAGGGAATGTCAATGAGGTTCCAAAGATGTGGAAGACGCAGAGGTTGTTGAGCCTGAGGATGGGACACAGTCTGTGGGGGCTGAGTTCTCAAAATGGCAGAGTGCTGCAGCTGCTTAGGACTCAGGGGTTTGTGGGACCCCGTGTGAGCTCACTCTCTAGAGCAATGCCATTGCATGGTCTTCAGGTCTCAGGGCTCACAAATATCAAGTGGTTCTTCCATGAATAGGATGTAGAAGTCTGTGGCAAGAATGTAGACGGCTGGAGCTCTCTTACCCTTTATCCATGTTAGGTAGCCTCTTCAGACTCCCTGCCAACTTCTGACCAAAGAAGCTACCTCATGTCCCTC